AGTAATAATAAAAAATAAAATTGTTTGGCAGACAATTTGTGATATCTTATCATCGAGACCTTTTTAAATCTTGAAAAGATTTTTTTAACTTTTCGCTGAGATAAATGTGTAAGTGATATTTTTATTGAGCAGGATCTAAGTACAAAATTCATTATATTTCTATAATTCAAAACAGACTATAGTCTGTCTAATGATAAAATCCTTGACACTGACAAATGTCTCTGTCATTTTAATTTTAAAGTAGTTTATGTTATTTTACAAAGAAATAAGTTGGTAAAATTGGAATGCAAAGGGGGAAATCCGTGACACTTACAAAAATATTTAAATTTTTTCTCGGTGTGTGTCAAATTAAAAATGTACCGTATGATCGAATAAAAACGGCGTCCAGTTGGCTTGGAAATGAACATCGATGACATTCCCCATATAATTTTACATATAAAATGACAGCGATCTTCATTTCATAGCCATCGCTGACGCCGTTTTTTCTCGATCATACGGTATAAAACTAAAAAAAACATAATCTAGTTTAATCGAATTATTTAACTTCAAAACAAATTTAGTGTGTGTTAATTTCAAACAAACAAAGGTATGTGTTAAATAAAACACTATTTACAACAAATTTATGAAAAAGACTATTTCTTATTTTGAAATTTTAAGAGACATTTTTGAGAAAGAAATAAATGAAAGCAAATATAAATAAGACAAATTATTTTTTTAATAATAATTTCAATAGTAATTTAACACTTTATTGAATTGTATGCCTTAAAAGTTGGTTAATTAAATAATTCACTTAAACCAGTACCTTTTGATTTGACCTTATCTCTATACAGTACTAAAATCTATTATTATTTACCTACCTTGTGATGTTTTTATTTTACAGCTGGTCCAGTTTTTAGTATATAAGATGGTAATACAAACTTTATAAATGTCTAATACAAATCTCTGGGTCTACACTTACTTTTCCCTCGATTTTTCTCCAACTAACTTGAAAAAAAAAATATATATCGCAAATTTTTATTTTTTCCAGAACGCTCATTGCAATCATTTATTGCAATTTGACGTAATTTGACATAATTCAGAATAAATTAACCATAAATTAACCACGTTTTACAAACTACAGAAATTCCAGCAAACAAAAAAAAATGACTTCGAATTTGACAATGACAAAATTATATTTTTGCTGTTATCTTAATTCTTCTTTCTCTGGGCCGTATTATAAATTTTTAGTAATTTGAAGGTAGATTTTTGCAAATAACTTTTAGATGCCTATTCCAAATAAAACGAAATTTTAGACGACAGTACAACTTTAACGCCTTTTCAAAAAAGTTCAATAATATTTTTGCTTAAAATCATCCGGAGAGGTAATAATATTTGACCCTTTCAAAATTTACATGGGATTTCTTATGTCCCGCGTTCCGATGTACACGGTATATTCTGTGCTGTAAGGCATTAATCTGATTGATTGAACAAACTGATACTCTGGGTACTCTACTGGAAGAGAGTGTGTACAGAGAATGTATAACAGTAATTTTCCAATTTTTCCTCTTTTTCTCTTAATTTTCTTCTTGTGTTTTCTATAATAAATTCTTAGTGCAAATTTTTCTTCAATGTTACAATCGTTTTTCTTATTCATTTAGTATTCAAGTAATATGAGTTTTTGTCTATTTTTTTTTCAATTAGGATACTTCGGTAATTAGTTTTTTTTTCAATTAGTACAAGTTTAAATCTGAAAGTTGTAACGTTTTTACTTCGTTACATGTCTTTTGTATATGATATATGATGTCTGGCGCCACCGGATTCCGTATCGCTCAGGCCTGATAATTTATTTGAAACGCTTGGCGTAATTTTTACGTTCTCTAGTCGACAACCCTGTTATCCTTTCACTGCTTCTGTGGAGGGCTGTCAACATAGTTTCAAGGTGTCTCTCTGTACTTTAACCTGACTTTTGTTTTTTTGCCATCAGCAACCCGGTTTTTAGAAAAATGGTAATTGTTTAAATCTTGCTGCATAATTTGAATCAGCTGCTATTTCTAAGCTACAGGTAAATATTAGTTATTATCTTTTATAGATTCGATATTATTATTGAGTATTTTTAGGGTAGAGTTTTGGATTAGCCCACCTTAACTCGTATTTGCATTTTGCTGGTACGTTGGTGTTCTTTTGCTTTTGTCCTCCAGAATGTCAAATAGAAGAAAGGACAATTGCCTTTGTTTATTATTGAGCCCTTGGAAGTGTTTCGAGGTAGGTTTATTTTGTTTATTAGACCTTGTTTGGTTTTAAACGAGAGTTTCTTGTTTTTAGGGTCCAAGGTACAGACAGGTGTCCCATGTACTAGTAATGTTCCAAGATACGGATAGTTTATCTAAGGTATGGGTAGTGTTCCCATGTACAGATTTGCTATGGACAGGTGTCCTATGGACGAGTGTCCCATGTAGAGATAGTAATTTATCTTATGTATGGAATGCCTCAGTATGGATGTAGTGTAAGCCCCATGCTGCTTCATTCCTATTTCTAAGCCTAGTCAGTAGTTACGGCTACTTTGGTTCATGGTGTTCCTCATTCTGACCCCTTTCACTGTATTGGTCAACAGAGAAGCCGAGAGACAAGTCACAACTCACGCTGTACTGTTTGAAGCAGGATTGTCTAAAGAACAAGCAGCTAAGTGTAATTTTAAGTTCTGGTTTTATGTTTTACATTTTTTACATTTTCAGTCTTAAATAATATTGTACATACTTTACGTTTAGTGGTTAAGTTACTTATGTCAGATTAGTACCGTATGATCGAGAAAAAACGGCGTCAGCGGTGGCTATGAAATGAAGATCGCTGTCATTTTATATGTAAATTTATACGGGAAATGTCATCGATCGTCATTTCCCAGCCAACTGGACACCGTTTTTTTTCGATCATACGGTATTTGAAATACGATTTAGATTATAGTTTCATTACGAACATATCTTGTAATGGTATTACTTTCTATGTATATTATTATTGCGTGATTTTGATAGATGAATAACCGAACAGATTCTAGAATCTACGGCTTGCAATATCTCGGATTTAACATCGTACAAAATATAACAAATTAAATAAAGTAAGGTGCCCGGTGGCGTAGAGGTACAGGCTTTCGTCCACCAATCTCAAAGTAGTGGGTTCGAATCCCACACCCGGCATTGCATCAGCCGACTATTTTTATTAAAATAAAAATAGTTTGGGTACCTAGGTCGACTCAGCTTTAAATGAGTACTTGGCATTCACAATCCTGAGGTAATAATAGGCGGTTGAAGCATAGTGCTAGCCACATTACCTTCCTTGTATACCGAACGGCTCTAGTATGGCAAGCTGTACCTTGCTACTCCCAAGGCGTTAAACGCTAGATACGGGAGCTATTATTATTATTAATAAAGTAATGCTACCTTCTATATATTTTCTACAGCTTTATCTGTGTTGTATTTTTCCATGGTCTTTTTCATAGAACATTATTTAGTATTATTTTTAACATAATTTTACTTGACATAATATAACCACTATAATTACTAGAGTTCAACAATGTCATTTACTATCAACAAAGTCTATCATGAATAAATATAGTAATTAGTTTCAAGTGTAATATACAACTTTGTTTTTTTTCTCTGTTCATGCCTGACGCCCAATATTTATGTTTTTGATTTTTTTATTGTTAATTAGTTTTTCTCCGGTGAAATACCGTATCCACGACTGCTCTCCGATGAAAAGCTGCCGTTCGCAGTGGTAGTTGTTTAAAAAACGTTATAAAGTATTAGGAAAATGTTTGAATGTCACAATTTTACCAATTTAAAAAAACAAAGATTTTTTGTACACACGCTTTTAGGCTACTAATATTGAAAATTTGATAAAATGCTTGTGTCATCGAAACATTCGTGTGTGTTAAGCTAACAAGAACATTTTACCTGAAAATTACGTGTGGGCCATTTCTCGAGTATTTAGGTTATACCCAAGGCATGTACATTTACATAGCATCTGCATCTCTCCAAGCACGTTACATCAAGTTTGATGCTTTCGGGCTTTATGCATCAAAGACTGTTTGTCATGTCTGTTCTAACTTTCGTAATATTAAGGAAAATCGCTCGAGAATGCAGAACGTTTGCAGCTAGTTTCTAAACGTACCTATGCCTTAAGCTATGTCCATAATATTCCTTGGTATATTTTATATGGCTATACATATTATAAAGGGTGATTTGCGGCTATGGTACCTCATAAATTTATGGAAAACTGGTGATTTGATTTAAAGACCAGGTACCTCAATTTACAGTACGTCCTCGGATTGTCTTTACCTGACGAAAAAAACTTTTTTATAATTGATATTTTAAGAAAAATACATTCTTCATAAAAATTTTTGCTTTTTCTAAAATGGTTAATCCCGTTTATACTTTTCCAAATTTCCATACTGTTTTAGAGAAAATTAAGTAAAACATGAAAATATGGTTGAAGTCCTAGAAATCAAAACGCGTTTCTATGGTAACAAATTCGCTTTCATTCTTTGATAGATTGTTATTAACGTAATATACAGGGTGGTTCTAACTGTATTCCGGAAACTTTGGCAGCATATTCTGCAGATAAAAATAAGTAAAAAAGTTCGTGTAAATGTATGTCCGAAAATGCTTAGTTTCGGAGGTACAGGGTGTAGAAGTTTCATTTTTATTTCGATTTTTTCCAAATAATTTCTGAAGTAACGTCAATATTTACCTACAAATTGGTGTCTGGGAGTTTTTTGACATGAGAAATTTGATTTTGATGTCAATATGACTCCTACTAGTAGAGGGCACCACCTACATATTTTTTAACTGGTTTGAAGAGTAATAACCTTTCGTCCGTACCTGTAATAAACTACTGAGTAAAAAAATATACATTTACGACTTTTTTTACGTGAAAAATGTGTCTTGGTAAAAATCGCTACGCGTGATGGTTTTCAAGATATTTGGAATATCAATATCAATACCTGTCATCATTGACATAAATTAAACAGGATACATTAAAATACGCAACCAACCGTCATTGAACCGTCCAATCAGATCAAAGGAGTAATCGTCGTAGATCGTGCGTTATCGATAATGTTCGGTGCCTGGAGAAAATTGACAATTGACAAGAGAATTGTTTATTATTTTTGACTTTTTAGTTCGTTTAATTTAATAATTACTAAAACCAGTAGTTCGAAAGATATATTTAAAAATAAAAGATAAAATCCAAAAAATTAATTATCTATTAACGTGGATTTGGACGACAATAGGTAAGAACACTAAATTTATTTCTATATTCGATATAAACTTGTTTATTAGGTTTTTAGTTTGTGATGTTTCATGTGATGATCATTTTCATGTTCATCGTCTTTGAATTGACATGAGGATATCTATGGAAAAGTAACTAATCTGAAAGTAAGCCAACATATCGTTTGTCCTTTGTGTGCTAAAGAAAAGATTTTCTTTTCGCATCATGAGGAAGTATTACATCAATTAAAAAATGTTAGGAAGTTGATTACTTGTCATGGAAAAGTATACCAATGGAAATTATTTGTTAAAGAAGTATAATTCTAAGGGTAAATTTTATTATAATTAGTAACCTGTCTATTTTTTATACGTAGATGTTTCAGGTTTTAAGAATAAATTGGTTGAACCCAAAATCTGGAGGAAGTACCTATATCCATACACAGAATATGCCCATTAAAAATACTAGTCCAAATTTGCTTTAATGGTAGACAATTATTCAATACAAATTAACTTTTTAAGTGACTGAAATATTAAATAGTTTAGAATATGGTATAACAATGTAAAAAAATATTATTTTCAGGAACGATTAGGGCCCGATATATTTGAAACTCATGTTGGACATAGTATTGAGTTGGGTAGAATATTATTCTACGTTAAGTGAGGGTATCAGATACCTATTATTGTACTGTATTTTAATATATACATTAGAATTGTTGGTTTTTTCATATTTGTTTTATTTATTATTTTACTTACAAGTTATATAAAGTTAACACTAAAATCTACTTTTTGACTTATATAAGTTAGTCTGTGGTTTAATGCGTGATTACATCCACATGATTTCAAGTTTTTAAAATATAAATATTATAACTGGCTTTAAAAACTCCATTAAACTGTTAAAAGTGTAATTTATTTCAAAATAAATATACATATATAGGTATATATTAATATCGAAAAACATTTTTATTTCCTTAACACCAATTTAATCATCACATACATATGTATAAACATTTATTTACGTTATTTCAAATGAAGACCACAGGAAAAACCAGCTTTGTTCATTTTAACTGGAGCCGAGAAAATGCAATTACGAGTGAACTACTCTGGTTTTTCTCCTGTAGGGCAAAATAACTAAGCTGTAATATCTCTGGGACTAAGCATATTATTATTGCTTTCTTTGATGGTGCCTCGAATAATGCTAACACTTGCCTATAAAATTGTCTCGCTATCAATTTCTATGAAAATGTAACATATTATCTGGTTTTTTCCATGTAGTCTTCAAATGATCTAAAAATTCAGCAGGAATGATCCATTATGCAGCAAACACACTGATGTTGAATCATGGGAAGCTTTTTTGTGGGCATTTCACAAATAAAATGAAATGTCTGATCAAAAACTGAAAATGCAAAACAGATAGTAAGCTTTATAAATACATACATATATATAAATAATCATACCTACATCTATTTATGTCGTACAATCCAACCGATATTTTAATATCCTGCCCAAGTAAATAATCAAAATGCACTTTTTATATCAAAAGCAGTAATGTTATCAAGGGTTCCAATTAATATCCAGGATTTAAAAAAAACACGATCCTAATTCTTATTATTTTTCTAAATACGTATTGTCTGATAGGCAATTACAAAATATAAATCTGATGTAAATAGAAAAATAAAGTAAAAACTGTAAAAACAGGTAAAAACAACAACAAAAATTCTAACCAAAGATTTAACCGTCATACGACATGAGCATCACGTGATTGCACAATACCCAACGATAGGGTACGTACCTCTTTCATCTGATTGGACGGTTGGTTGCGTATTTTAATGTATCCTAAATTAAACGTGTTGACTAAATAGTTATTAGACTAAAATCATAAATTTGAAATTTTTTTGTGCCAAAAGGTCAAAACTGTTTTATCATCATTTTTTGCAGAAAAATTTATGATTAATTTAAAAAAATAAAAATTTCCCAAATTTAGTATTTCAGTGAAATAACTATCTACTCAACGTATTTATTTTTCATCAATAATGACATGTATTGACTAATTTCATTCTAAATATCTTAAGAACGGTTGCTCGGAGCGATTTTTACAAAGAGATATTTTTTACGTAAAAAGTCACAGAGATGTATGTTTTTTCACTCGGTAATTTTATACAGGTACGGACAAAAAGTTATTACACTTTAAAACAGTTAAAACACATGTAGGTGGCGTCCTCTATTAGTAGGAGTCATATTGACATCAAAATCAAATTTCTCATGTCAAAAAACTCCCAGACACCAATTTTCGTCGAAATATTGACCTTACTTCAGGAATTATTTAGACAAAATCGAAATAAAAATAAAACTTCTTGACCCTGTATCTCGGAAACTAAGCATTTTAGGACATACATTTAGGTATACGAACTTTTTTACTTATTTTTATCTGCAGAATATGCTGCCGAAGTTTTCGGAATACAGTTCGGACCACCCTGTATATTGCTGTTTTAAAATGTTAAAAATATTTCTTATAGTTTTCTAAATAAAAAAAAAATTAAAGTATGTGTTTTACAAATTACACTAAATTGACATATTGACAAAAATATTGTCCGTATAAACAGTAGTTTGTCTGTGGTTCTACATAAATTCTTACGAAAAATTTGAAACCAGGTTTTAATAATTTCTGTTCACCATAATGTCAAGAAACGTTAAAGAGAAAATTAAAATAGAAATAGATATCTGTATTTTCACATATTATATAAGTTAATTTCTATTTTTGGCACAAAAATGAACGATTTAAGAGTAAATTTTTATTCAATTTATTAAAATTATTTATTCAAAATATCTTTTTTTCTTCAAAGAAAGCGAAAAAGTAATGTTGTGTTTAAAACGGTCATCCCAAAATCATTTTACATTATTTGGTCATTAAAAATAAATAACATTAAGGCAACGATCATATGATTTGTTTCTGAACGTAACGAAACTCAGATAACATTCTTAAAATGTGCTGTATACTTTCACATACCTATTACAAGAAAATGAAATATGTCTGTGATATTCCATATTATACTATATTTTTTAATTTATATCACAGATAACATAATGATTATAATATGTTATCTGTGTTTATATCTTATTTTTATTCATGTTTTTCGAACGCATTCAATAATTAGAATATTAATAATTATAATATAGTTTTGCAAACTTCAAAATTTACCTCCACCATTATGTCAACAATTGCTTTGATATAAAACGATTGGTTTAATATATGTAAATCATAAAGTTTTCTGAATATGTTCAGTAAACTTTAACAAAATTAAATTAGTTTTAACGTACAATTGACAAATAAACAAATGCTAGTACAGGGTGTCCCACTAAGAATACCTCTCGGCTGTATATGTCGGAAAGTATTAGCCGTAGGGCCTACGAAAAAAAAAATATTTATAGTGAAAGAGGCTATGAGAAATTTCGGATTTTTTTTGTTAGAACCATTTTCCCCATCTGCTGAAATAAAGTAGTGGGGGAAAGTTAGATTTATCTTTATTTAAATGTTAATAACTCCTGACTGGATGATCATAATTCAATAAACGAGTGCTCGTTTAAAAGCGCGTTTCTTACTCTATACTACACCGTAATAATAATAATAATAATAAGGTTTTGAACGTAGACGCTAGGGGGCGCTCTCTTACAATTTAACAAACATAGAGCGGCTTTTCAAAAAAAAAAATAAATAGGATAATATATGTAATTTTAGCCGATAGTAAAGAGTAGTAAAAGCTTAAAAAGTCAGCGAAAACCGCATTTTGATATCTTCTTTCAAACCAAAGATATAAGCAAAATTATAATAAATACCAAAAAATAAGCCTTAATTATCTTATTTTTACAAAAATTACAAATAATAAAAAAACATTTTTATTATTGACATTTTAATAAAAATGCATTGTTCATAAAACATTTTGCTTGTTCTAAAATGGTTAATCCCGTTTATACTATTCAAAATGTCTGTACCGTTTTAGAAAAAAATTAAAAAACATAAAAATATAGTTGATTTTTTTCTAAAAAAATATAGTTTAAGTTCTAAAAATCAAAACGCGTGTCTATGGTAATATAGTTTCGATTTTATTCTTTGATACATTGTTATTGATAGAATTTTAATTAATGTCATATTTTTTGCTGTTTTAAAATGTTATAGAAGCACAATAATTGTTATTTAGATTTATTTAACAACAAACGTTTATTTAGATCAATGCTATGGGAAGATATATACTTAATAGTTATTAAAAATGTGATACTTTGACAACAGCAAAAAATAATATGATGGTAATAAAATAAAAATTGAGAATAACCATCTGTCAAAGAGAGAGAAATCGAAATTATATTACCATAGAAACGCGTTTTAATTTTTAGAACTTAAAAAAAATCAACTATATTTTTACTTTTTTTTAATTTTCTCTAAAACGGTATAGACGTGTGGAAAAGTATAAACGGGATTAACCATTTTAGAACAAGCAAATTTTTTTATGAAGAATACATTTTTCTCAAAATGTCAATAATAAAAAAAATCCTCATGTAAAGACAATCCGGGGATATACTGTATAGGGTGTTATTCCATTAAGAAAAACACAACTTTGATGTGTAACTTTTTTTGGGCACACCCTGTAAAACTCTTTATATTTTTTAAAAATGCTCTTCTGCTCACAAAATTTAATTTCAATACAAATTAGCATTCTCTCTGGAACCCTCGCGTCGTATGAGAGGTGCCACCCTGTATATTTTAGTTTATTACATCTAATTTAAAGTTAATATAGATCAATTGAAATATTGAATGTTTCTTAGTAAGATCTATTTTTATCATCAAATAACACGTTGTCTATACAACAAGTCATAATTATTTAATAAAATTCAGTGATCCAAATTTTACCAACCAGTCCAAATACCAAATTAAATATTCACAATACTCGATCATGATCGTGAAAGTTGCCTTTCCAAAAATAACCATTGTAGATATATATGGTGTCCCAATATTGCGTGGACATAGAACTACTACGTAGTTTTGGAGTTAAAATAAGTTCATTGGACACACTGTACTTCTATACAAAAGTGCTTCGTTTATCCGCAGTTCATTGGACACACTTTACCTCTATACAAAAGTGCTTAGTTTGTCCGCTAGACGGCATTAAACTTTAAAAAATAAAACACATTTTTTCAGATATTTAAAACCGTTATTCCGATCGGAATGAGAATTTGGTCGTGTATATGTTTTGCTAAGTTGTTCTAACATTTAAAATTCGCAAAAATCAAGAAAAAGTACGGGAGGGATGAAAACTACCCCCACCCCTACATAAATTTTAGTATAAATATTTTCCAACCCCACCGAAGTCTAAATTTCTTTTTGTAGAATGGTCCCGGTAGTTTTTACTACATTTTTTGTTTCTCGTAAAAAACGTCACCGTGTATATTTTTGCAGAAAAAAATTATTTTTCCAAAGCTGATTATAAAAAATGTTTTTTTGTCACACCGATCTCTGGAGGCGCATAAAATCTATTAAGGCAGGCGGCCACTGCGAGCGAAACTAAACTAAGCCAAGCGAAGATAAGATTTGTAAAAATCAGCTCCCATACTTTTAAATGCATCAGCGGCCACTTGAGCGAAACTAAACGAAAATATATTAACCGACGATTCAAATCGTAGTTTAGTTTCGCTCGTTTTAGTTCGTGACAGGCTCCAGCGAATTTTTCGCAGCGATTAGTTCTATGATAGCAGAGATACAATTCGAAAACGCAGCTAACTTAGCTGACTACTGAGCGAAAATCGTTCCCAGTGGCCGATGAAACTTATTTTCGTTTAGTTACCGTTTGTTTTTATAATCTTAGCTTAGTTTAGTTTCGCTCGCAGTGGCCACCTGCCTTAAAGGCGGCCACTGTAAGGCTCATTAGTCAGCTAAGTTAGCTGCGTTTTCGTATTGTATCTCTGCTGTCACAGAACGAATAACGAAAAATTCGCTGGAACCTGTCACGAACTAAAACGAGCGAAACTAAACTACGATTTAAATCTTCGTTCATATATTTTTGTTTAGTTGCGCTCAATTAGCCGCTGATGCATTTAAAAGTATGGGAGCGGATTTTTACAAATCTTATCTTCGCTTGGCTTAGTTTAGATTCGCTCGCAGTGGCCGCCCGCTTTTAAGGCAGGCAGCCACTGCGAGTGAAACTAAACTAATCTAATAATATAGAAAGAAACGGTAACTAAACGAAAATAAGCTTTATCGGCCATTGGGAACAATTTTTGCTTAGTAGTCAGCTAATTAAGCTGCGTTTTCGTATTGTGTCTCTGCTATCATAAAATTAATTGCTACGAAAAATTCGCTGAAACCTGTCACGAACTAAAACGAGCGAAACTAAATCTTCGTTCATATATTTTCGTTTAGTTTCGCTCAAGTGGCCGCTGATGCATTTAAACGTATGTGAGCTGATTTTTACAAATCTTATCTTCGCTTGGCTTAGTTTAGTTTCGCTCGCAGTGGCCGCCCGAATTTATGCTCTAATAATTTAGTTGGCGAAAAATATTAAAATTTATGTTAGTATCAGAAATTATATCTGACAAAAAGCTTCATAAAAAGCTTAAAAAAATGATTAATATTAAATGAATTAATATTCGGGTTTATTTTTGATTGATGCCATCTAACGGACAAACAAAGCACTTTTGTATAGAGGTAAAGTGTGTCCCCTGTGTCCAATGAACTTATTTTGGCTCCAAAAATACACACCTAGTAGTTCTATGTCCACGGATTATTGGGAAAACCTATATTTAATAATTAAAAGATCTAGTTACTATCGATTTTAAATCTGACACTATAGGAATCCCAGTCTATAACAGGTTTTCAGTGATGCTAGTTCAATCATTGTTATCGAAGTGTACGTTCACACGCCCGTAAAATTGCCGTGTGCATTAATTGAATTCGAAAATTAAAAACCGATCGTGTAAAAAAAAATTAAGGTAATCGTCGTTGGATGTAACCTTCAAATAAACATAGCAACTATAGCTGTATGGTGAATAATATTTTCATGCAATTGGAATGTTTAGGTAAGATTTGTGTGTAATATTTATTGGAGTGAAATAGCGATTTTATGGCAAGTGTGTAATTAAGCAAGTGTGCCGCCAATAGTCACTAAAAATGTAATAATAAACGCCGCCCGTCGCTCTTTTACAAGTTTACATTTCTCATATTACAGTATAAGTATTATTTTTAATTTTTGAAAAATTTATTTAGAGTTGTAAATTTAACTTAAAGTATTTTTTTATTATGATTGCCGTAAAATTAATATACGTATATACAGGGTGAGTTTCCCACGATGTTCTCTATGGGTATCTCGGAAACTACTGGAGATAGAGAGTCTGTTAGATGGGGAAACAATTGCAGTTTTGTTGGGTCATAAACATTAGGGTGGATCGAAAAATCTCAAAAATAAAATTTGCGCTTGATATACCGCGCAAAAGTTGCCGTAGGTGTACCTATACCAGCATAATAAGAAACATATCAAATTCGGATAACATTTCAACAAATTCCCGATCGCGAAGACAACTAACACGCATGTATCTTGTCTTCTTCTTGTTTAGCTCCAGTCCCCATTTCTTGCTATTTCAAACAAATTAAAAATAGTTCACAAATAGTAGTCTAATGCAGGGCGCCCACCGAAGTAACGTGGTTTATAACATGGCGTATGATCTAGCAAGTGGCATGCATCTGGCATGCTACATCAAACTGAACCAACGTAAACAAATAAACAGGAATACACCAAAGTGACAAAGCGAGCAACGCGCATGTCGTGACACGTGGCATGTCATGCGACTGCATTAAAAATAGAACATGTTCTAATTCTTGTCACATCAGAAGACTGTAAAGTTTGTTTCATCCTATAGAAAGACTGAAATTTGTCTGGATATTGATGCAATTCTTTAAATACATTAAATCCGCGATATGACTGCATAGATTTCCAATACGGATGTATCCAACGCCTACGTTTAGTCCGTTTTTTATTAATATTAATTAAATTTACTATGGCTAAGGCATTTTCATCTGAGGACGACATTATTTACTCATAATGGCGAGAAACTATACAAATGCATCAAATGCCAACTGTTGGTTTTTGACTGTGCTTCTGCTAACTTTTACCATTTAAGTGGGTGTCTACTGAGCCACGCTACTTACGTCGTGGTCATGCTGCACGCGCCATATCATATGCTACGCATCACGACACTTTGGTGGGCGCCCTGCCTAAGAGCTAGCAACGTTTTCAAGAAAGTATTTTAAGACGTCTGGCTCTTTGATATATCTTTAACTATGCTCTCTGGAACAGCATGCGGCCCCTCTGGCTGCCGATACCCATTGCGTTCACTACTGCGCATCAGAAGAAGGTCCTATATATTTTTCTTTAATTTAGTCCTATAAATTCTAGTATTGAATATAAATCGAACATGTCTCCATATCGCAGTGCGTAGAGTTTCCGACTACGAACCGAGTGTTGAGAGTTCGAATCCGGGTCAGGACAAAGGCTTTTTTATTTTATTTTCGTTTATATTCTGATAGTAAAGTATTAAATAATTCTGGTGATTCAAAAAAAATATTTAATACTTTACTATATATAAACGAAAATAAAATATAAAAGTCGTTTCCCTGACCCGGATTCGAACTCTGAATCCTCGGTTCGTGATCGTAAACTGTGCACACTGCGCTATGGAGACATGTTCGATTTATATTCAATACTACAATTTAAAGGACTAATAAAAATATAGGATCTTCTTTCAATGCGCTTGCGCAGTGGGGAATGTTTACCGACAGCCAGACGGGCCGCATGCTGTTCTAGAGAGCATAGTAAAAGATATATCAAAGAACCAAACGTCTTAAAATACTTGTATTTTCGACGTTGCTAGCTCTCGTACTATAGATTATTAGCATAAATCAACTAATAAAAAATATTTTTTTCTTTTATACAGGGCGGTCCGAATTGTAAGTAAAAATAAGAAGAAAAGTTCGTACAAATGTATGCCCTAAAATGCTTAGTTTCGGAGATACAAGGTATAGAAATTAAATTCTTATTTCAATTTTTCCAAATAATTTCCTTAGTTTAGCTCGATATTTGGATAAAAATTGGTGTCTGGGTGTTATTGTCATAAAAATTTGATTTCAATATGATTATGACTCCTAGTGATAGGTGGAGCCACGTACCTATTTTTGAAGTGTTTTGAAGAGTAACTTGTCCGTCCGTACCTGTATTAAAGTACTGAGTGAGAAAATATACATTTCCGCCGTTTTTTGCTTAAAAAGTTCTCTTGGTAAAAAGCGCTACGAGTAATATTTCTCAGGATATTTGGAAACGAAATAATCAATACAACTCATTATTGACGAAAATTGCATATATTTACTAGATAGATAGGTATTAAACTGAATTCTAGTCAAAAAAGGTTAACAGAAACTGTTTTATTATAGTTTTTTTCTAGAAAAAATTATGATTGCTTAAAAAAAATTAAAAGTTTTTAATTTCACTCAAATAACTATGTAGTCGACAATTTTCATCCTATACAGGGTGAGTCTTAAATAAGTGCAAATATTTTCAGGGGTGGTATATTTCGACCCCAGGAACATGTCTATGAGTTTTTTTTTGCAAAAAAAGATGTTGAAAATCGGGCATTTTCTTTTAAATTTCCTGGTATATTTTTCCAAAACTTTTTAGAACTGCCTGTTCACCGCAAATTTTCCCACGGTATAATTTCTTAATCTCTGATATTACCATAGTTACAGCGTTACTCTATGGTTACGGCCGTAAAAGGGATGCAAATACAGAAAAAATCCTGTGGCTCTCAAAATTTTCCCAAAAAAAAACAATTTTCATTTTAATTTTCAAACTTAAATAACTCGGTTAATTTGAACTTATTTGAAAAATGGTAAAGAGAAAATATGTTTCTTTTATCGAGATCTACCAGCCCTGAAAATATTTGCACTTATTTAAGACTCACCCTGTATATATCTATCTTAAAAACGGTTGCTCGTAGCGATTCTCAGTTCAAATACAAAATAGTTCAAAAACATGTAGGTGGCGCTCCCTAGAAGTAGGTGTCATATTGACATCAAAATCAAATTAACCATGTCAAAATACACGCAATGACTCTAATTTTCATCTAATGATACATTTGCACAAACTTTTTTACCTATTTTTATCAATAGTATGTTTTGACGAAGTTTCCCAAATACTGATTTCGAACCACCCCGTATAATATATATTATTAATATTAGAATTCCCCAATAGTAAAAATATTACAGAATATACCTATCTCCATTTTATCTAAAATTTCTCAGATAAAAAAGATGATCGAATCAAATTGCTTTTTAAATCCTGAGACAAAGAGAAAATTTTACCAGTCTGTTTATATTGCATATAACAATAATGAAATAAAATTTTACTATCTTAATTAATCATCCTAGCGGAACTAAAAGAATTTTAGTCAAAATTTGTCATTTAAAAGGTTAGGAAGTGTCTGTGTTAAGTTTTCTTGTGAGTTGTATATTAATACGAATATTAGTAAAACACTGTCAATTAATTTTATTACACCCGGAATAGATGAATTGAGAGGTATGTTAATAATAATAATGAATGATACGAACAAAACTCTTATCTCATTTATTGCTTCTATAAAAATAAAGATAATACTTCTAATATTATTTGTTAAAAATATAGGAATCTCATTTCTTATGGTTTATTCTGTTTAGAATATTTGCGTTTAACTTATTTATTAATACTAACTAATACTTTAATATTGTAATTCATCTTAAATTTCTAATTCATATCCGGTGAATATCAAATCCATATTTGCAAATTAATTCAAAAAGATGTTCACTATTTGAAGTAGTGATTGGCTCTTTCTATGAAATAGTACGTATATGTCTATAACACTCATTCTTTAAGTAAGCATGTATGTAAATAAATTAATTGGTATATAATGCCAGGTGATAATTTATAATTAACTAATTATATGATGTTTAATCTTTCGTTAATGTGGTAAGAACCAGTTTCATTGTTAGTGTATTTGAATATATTATACCCTAAATTTCGTCTCATTTGTTAAATTGAATTGGATTTTTTTTATGTTTTTTTGTGAGTTTCATATTCACTTAATTAGTTTGTGTTTTAAGTGTCATTACTTTTTTTTCTTAGCGTGATGAAAGCGTGTTCCATTGATATTGTATTGAATTAATTTTAGCCGCACATGTTTTACTACTTGTAATTTTTCTAAATGAAATAGCTTTAAATTAACACTCATTGTAGTATTTCTATATGATTAATCGAACGAATAATTGAAACTGAAATTGCATATACAAGGTGGTCCGAACTGTATTCCGGAAACTTCGACAGTATATTTCGCACATTAATATAATTAAATAGTTATGTCCTACAATGCTTCGTTTCAGAGATACAGGGTGTAGAAGCTTCATATCTATTTCGATTTTTTTAGATAATTTTTAAACTGTTGGTATCTGGGGGTTTTTAATATGATAAATCTTATTTTGATATGAATACGACTCCTACTTGTAGGGGGCGCCACCTACATTTTTTACTGTTTTGAAGAGTAATAACTTTTTATCCGTCCTTACGTATTACACTACCGAGTGAAAAAATATACATTTACGCCTTATTTTACGTAAAAAATGTCTCTTGGTAAAAATCGCTGCTAGTAACCGATATTTTTTGGTTTCTTAATAATCAATACATGCCATCAAGAGCACATGCCATCACTGCAGCAGATGGAGTAACAACTAACCAAATAGATCATGCAATTGACAAATTGGAAGAAAAATGCATTACAAAAGTGAGATCGTACAGAGGCCCTGATGCAGATTCAGACCACTTCATGGTGGGTATCCACGTGAAGCAGATCATACCAGAGATGAGAAACCAGATAAACAAAAAGCAAAGAGAGGATTTTATTCCGAGATTAAACCAAAGAGAGGAAAAAAGCAAGTATGAAAATATGATTAACCAAGAATTCGGTAAAAGCTTAGACGAAGAGACAATTGAAGGAAAGTCAATCAAAAACCAAATCAAAACAATGGTTTGATGAAGAATGTAAAATGGAGTTAGAAGTTAGAAATAAACTAAGGTTACAGATGTTATAAAAAGAAACACAACAAACCAGAATAGAATACGCAAAACAAAGAAGAAGAACTAAAAACATATTAAGAAAAAAAAAGAAGAAGTTTTATGAGGAAAACTTAATGAAAATAGAAGAGCAGTATAAATCAAGGCAAATTAAAAATTTATATTTGGGACTGAGGAATGAAAGAAAGGGATACCAAGGTAGGACACTATATATTAAAGACAAAGAAGGACAAATAATATCAACTGAGGAGGATGTTTTGAATAGATGGAAAGAATGTTTTGAAGAACTATTAAATGAAAGCGACGATACTCGAGACAAGCAGGGGGAGGATGAAATAAATATAGAGCATCAGAATAAATAGGTGCTCCCACCGAATTATGAAAGTGTACAAAGAATTATCCAGAACTTAAAGAATGACAAAAGTCCCGGAAATAATCACATGCCGGCTGAGGTATTTAAGTATGGAGGGTCCAAGTTGATAGAACACATCCAGGAACTACTGAAAGACGTATGGGAGAAAGAAGAAATACCGAAAGAGTGGCGTATATATGGTCTATAAAGTACTGGCAACATATATAAAAGAAATGTTAGTGAAAGAGGTTGATGAAAAAATTGGAGAGTACCAATGTGGATTTAGGAAAGGAAAAAGTACCATTGACCAAATATTTACCCTTAGAGAAATACAAGCGGTGAGTTATGAATACGGAAAACAGACAATGCTCCTGTTTATCGACTTTCAGCAGGCATATGACAAAGTTAAAAGGACGGAGGTGTTTAGAGCATTGACAGAATTAGGGGTTAGCAAGAAACTGACCAAGATGATAAAATTGACACTCCAAGAGACAGTAAATGAAGTCAAAGTAAACAAGAAAACAATGGAAAAATTTATAATCAGGGACGGATTAAGACAGGGGGATCCACTATCTCCAGTACTGTTTAGTGTAGTATTAGAACAAATTATAAAAGACGCGGGAATCAACAGAGAGGGCCTTCTGTATACAAAAAGACACCAATGCTTGGCCTTTACCGATGATTTGGTCATCTTAGCAAGAGATCGGAAAGAGCTGATATCGGTGACCAAAGGACTAGAAAATCAAGCGCAAAAAGTAGGCTTAGTGTTTAATGAGATGAAAACGAAATTTATGGAGTGGTCAGATAGAGATTTTGAGAAGGAATGTCTACAATTGAAGTCTGAGAGAGGTAAACGATACAAGTTTGAGAAAATAGATACATTCACATATCTGGGAGCAGTATTTCTAAGGAATCCAAATGTAACTCAAGAAATTATGCCAAGAATAATAGCAGGAAATAGATGTGTCAGCGCATTACAGAAAATTATTAAGAGTAAGAACATTTCTAGAAGTTTAAAAATCAGAATGTACCAAACAATGATAAGACCAATAGTGCTGTATGCATGTGAAACGTGGACGTTCAATGCAACAGAAAGTTCGAGGCTAGAGATTTGGGAAAGAAAAATACTGAGGAAGATTTTTGGAGGAAAGAAGATAGACAACATATGGACCAGAAGAACAAATGAAGAAGTAAAGCAACTATATCGGGCACCGAGGATAACGGGAGTAGCTAGAGCACAAAGACTGAGATGGCTGGGACACATTGAAAGAATGGCAGAAGCAAGAATTCCTAGTATGATAATGAAACGTGAAATAGGTGGAAAGAGAAGGAGGGGTAGACCGAGAATAAGATGGAAAAAGGACGTAGAAGAGGACTTGAGAAGGATAAGAGTGGATGGGTGGAGAATAAAGGCGAAAGACAGAAACAAATGGAGAAAGATAACCAATCAAGCCATGAGCCTTTTAAGCTTTTAGAGGTATTTTATATATATAAATTGAAATTGAAATTGCATATACAGGGTGGTCCGAACTGTATTCCGGAAACTTCGACAGCATATTTCGCACATAAATATAATTAAAAAGTTATGTCCTACAATGCTTCGTTTCAGAGATACAGGGTGTAGAAGCTTCATATCTATTTCGATTTTTTTAAATAATTTTTAGACTCTCGGTATCTGGGGGTTTTTAACATGGTAAATTTTATTTCGATATGAATACGACTACGACTATACGATATACTTGTAGGGGGTATATACGATACGATACGACTTGTAGGGGGGGTATATACGGGTACTCGAAGGGGGGTATATACGATACGACTTGTAGGGGGCGCCACCTACATTTTTTACTGTTTTGAAGAGTAACAACTTTTTATCCGTCCTTACGTAATACACTACCGTGTGAAAAAATATACATTTCCGCCTTATTTTGCGTAAAAAATGTCTCTTGATAAAAATCGCTGCTAGTAACCGTTTTCAAGAGATATTTTTTGGTTTCTTAACAATCAATACATGCCATCAATGACAAAAAGTTAACATGTTCAGTAGGTAGATATTTGAGTAAATTAATAATTTTCGAAACTTTCTGATACCAAAAGTTCAACAGAAGCTGTTTTAATACCTAACTGTCAATTTTTTCGAAATTTCGTAATTTTTGAAAAATCCCATTTTTGTTACAACGAGTTAATGCTAAAGGTTCTACCGAAACCATGTTATCATAAATTTCTCAAAATTTTTGCCATTTAAAAAATTGACATGCATTGATTATTTCAAATCCGTACATCTCTATAATAGTTATTTGTTGAAATTTTTCCCAAGATACATCTTACGATTAGTTCAGTCAGATATCTTTCTAGTAAAAATCTTTAATTTTTAGCCGACCATACCAACAGGTATGGTAAGCTATTAAGATCGACAAAAAAAAGTTTTTTTAATTTCACTCAAAATGAGTTATTTGGGTCATAAATGACCTAAATACAAAATATTTTCATGGTGTCTGTTTGTCTGTCTGTCTGACAAAAAGTTAACATGTTCCGTAGGTAGATATTTGAGTAAATTAATAACCGCTAAAAACTTTCTGATACCAAAAGTGGCACAAAAATACTTTAATACCTAACTGTCAATTTTTTGGAAATTTCGTAATTTTTGGTGGGGGGGGAGGGGGTTGGTAAGGGGATATGGGAGGGGGTTAAAATTTTAAAAAATCATAACTAAAAAATTTCAGTAGCCAGCGAAACGCAGTTTCCAATTTAAGATTAGGAATAATATTTGCAACAAAATTTGTAATAACATCAAAATCAGTCAAAGTCGCAGTTTTTGAGATAAAAAAAATTGGAAAAATTCCTTTACTTTGAAACTAAAAGAACTGCCTACCAACTTTTTATTAACATATTTTAGTATGGGCGGCTATACGTGCCTCCCGGCGCAAATTTTTTAATTTGTTAATTACATGTATTGATTATTAAAAATCCAAATATCTCGAGAACACGATCCTCGTAGCGATTTTTACAAAGAGACATTTAAAAGGCACACATGTATATGCATATGTAAAAAAGGCACAAATGTATATTTTTTTACTCAGTAGTGTAATACAGGGACGGCCGAAAAGTTGTTACTCTTCAAAACAGTTAAAAAGAGTGTAGGTGGCCCCCCTACAAGTAGGAGTAATTTTTACTATCTAAATTAAAGAAAACCTTTAGTTTCGCAAGTATTTTTATCAGTTGTACTTCCCCATCCATCTACATTAAAAACTGGGATTGAATATTTGGGAAAAGTGTATATTCTCACAGATAGCATACTATGTTATCAGTGATTTATAGTATTTTTAGATGTGATATGCTAGATAGTCCAAAAACAATTTACCTACAATAATTTATTTACTATAAATTAATAAAACAGGAGTTTTTTCAATCCAAGACATTATATAATCAAAAAAAACACCCAGGTCACTTCAGAAACTGAAGTATTCATATGCAGAATAACGTTTTAGTTAAACGCAAAACAACAATGTTATTTTTACATTTATAAGAAGTTTATTGCACCAAAACTATGTCTTACTACTGCAGTTTTTCAATAACTCTGCTGGTCTGTTCTTTACCAATCATAATTCTTTATTCTTTTATGTTTTCAAATGACTCTGAGTTCTTTTTTGTTAAATGATATAAAAAACTCACAAACAATGAAAGAATAATGATCATTGTTATTATTTACTTGAATATGTTTTTCAGATTTGCAGCATGGTCAAATAAAAGAAGGATATCGCTGTCATAATGATCAATAATAGCAGCACCGAAAACATCATTAAAGTAAGAACCCTATACAACGGAAAAAAAAATCGTCAAATATAAAGTATTTGTTTTTTTATGTTTTGACCAGTTTTCATGATTTTTTAGCAAACTGTATATAATAATAATTATATAAACTTTTATTATTAAACTCAGTTTTTTACAAATTTCGACAAGGTTTATGATGTGTATGTATTAATTTTAGGATGAAATTTACAATGGAGATCACACAGTTGCCGTTAAGGACCATTATAGTCAAGAGGAACAATATAATAAAGTTAGAAATAGGCATATAAGAAAAGTCATAATAAGAATTGTCATATTCCTTATAGTTACCGGCTATTCACTATGGGCAACCTATTATTTTGTTAAAAACACAGGTAATTTTTAAGACGTTATGTTTGTTCTTACATAGTTACTATTTAATTTTTGCTGTTATTGACAATATATAAAAAAATACAAAAAGTAACAAGAAAGTAAATAAATTGCTTTCACTTTTTGATAAAGGTGTCTCTTTAATTTCCTGTTATCATAATTTTTAATTTATTTAAGAGATTAGCCAACTTACTAGAAAGATAAAATATCAACGTGCAGATTTCTATTGTTTGATAAAAATATTAATTATACTTTATCTCTTGATCTCTGATCGAACAATAGAATATAGAATATTCCTTCTAAAACCAAATAAAACTTTATCAATATCAATAATATAAAATCCAATTGTGTTGAATATTAAATCCTATACTCACAATTCGTTGATGCGGTTTGTCGATGCGATTTGTCAATGCGTCGATTTGACTAGCCCAAGGGGTGTCTCGCTGTTCGAATTACATTTTATTGACAGTCGCTGGCAGCTGTTGGCATCAGTCGACTATAATTATACAGGGAAGTCCGAACTGTATTCCGGAAACTTCGGCAGCATATTCCGCAGTTAAAAATAAGTAAAAAAGTTTGTACAAATGTATGTCCTAAAATGCTTAGTTTCTGAGATACAGGGTGTAGAAGTTTCATTTTTATTTCGATTTTTCCCAAATAATTTCTGAAGTAATGTTAATATTTCGATGAAAATTGATATTTAGAGGTTTTTTAACATGAGAAATTTGATTTAGATGTCAATATGACTCCTACCTGTAGAGGGCGCCATCTAAATGTGTTTTAACTGTTTTGAAGAGTAATAACTTTTCGTCCGTACCTGTATAAAACTACTAAGTGAAAAAATATACATTTCCGTGATTTTTTACGTAAAAAATGTATCTTGGTAAAAGTCGCTATGAGCAACCGTTTTCAAGATATTTAGAATGGAATTAGTCAATACATGTCATTATTGACAAAAAATAAACATATAGTATATGTTGAGTAGATACTTATTTGACTGTAACGATAAATTTGGAAAGTTTTTTTTTTAAATTAATCATAAATTTTCCTTCGAAGAAATGATGATAAAACAGTTTTTGGCGCAAAAACGTTTCAAATTTAGGATTTCAGTCTAATAACTATTTAGTCAACATGTTTAATTTATGTCAATGATGATAGGTCTAGATAATTTCGATTCCAAATATTTCGAAAATCATTACTCCTAGTTGCTCCTAGCGATTTTCACCGAGAGACCTTTTTACGTAAAAAACGTCATAGATGTATATTTTTTTCCTCAGCAGTTTTATACAGGTACTGACGAAAAGTTATTACCCTTCAAACCAGTTAAAAAATATGTAGATGGCGCCCTCTACAAGTAGGAGTCATATTGACGTCAAAGTTCTCATGTAAATAAACTCCCAGACAGTAATTTTCATCCAAATATTAACGTTACTTCAGAAATTATTTGAAAAAAATCGAAATAAAAATGAAACTTCTACACCCTGTATCTCCGAAACTGAGCATTTTAGGTCATACATTTATACGAACTTTTTTACTTATTTTTATCTGCAAAATATGCTGCCGAAGATTCCGGAATACAGTTCGGACCACCCTGTATGTATAGCAGACATAGGCAGTCTTCTTCGCAGTCACTGGCACTCGCTTGTCAACGCATTGACATTTTGGCGGTACAATGATATTTTTGCAGTGCATGTACATTTTTTACCCAAGTGAAATACCACTCGAAAATGCCAATGAGTTTGTGAAAGAAATATCAGGAACACAATGGACGATTTGTATAATATTTTAATTTAATTATTGTAGACACAGATATAAAGATGGTTCATATAGGGCTAAGCTAATTGTCTAAATATCAATTTTCTTCAGTGATTATCTCTCTCACCTGTATCAAGATGTAGAAGACTTCTGTGCGGCAATCTCACAAAATTTGATTTGTTGTTCTCCTTGCATTATAATTATTGTATATTTTTAAGAAACCTATATGGTGGATATAAATTGTTTGTGTTTGAAATGTGAAATTTTCTTTAATAAAATTATTAATTATTTCAAATTTCTTTACAGATCCTTTAGATTTGGATGCATTTTCGAACAGCACAGCGCAAGGTTATGGACTGCTTGTAATTTTATATATTTTTTATCTATACACAAGTTTATATTATTATGTATTGAAGCCGTTCCTACTGCCCACAGTAAATAGATTTTTGTGGATACCTGGAGTACGAATTCTAAGCAAAATAAAGTAAGCTGTGAAAAATAGTATCTTTAACTAAAATAATTAAGATATATATTTAATATCATTATTGATATTGGTCACAAAAAACTCATTACATGTCTCCATATCAGTGTACCGATTAATACTTTGATTGAAAAATAAATATGTATGTAAAAACTTGATGGTATAAAATGGATATAATAGCTATTTTTTATTCAAGACGATAAAATGGTATTTTATCGCCGACCGAAAAGTTTAATTCACGAGCGATGAAATCGCGAGTGAATTAATTTCGAGAGACGGTAATGCAATTTTATCGTCGTTTGTATAAAACAATATTTTTTCCATAGCGAGTTACGTTTTAAAAATTATTCAGAAATTATTATTTCAAGGAATTATTACGCGTAGAAAAAATATTGTGCTGGGTTAGCGTTGGTTTCTATGTAGTTTGACAAATAAATAAAGCTGTCTCTTTAGTTGTCAGTTTTGAGTCAATATTTTTTAATTCTCTTTCGTGTCGATTGCTGATTGAATTGGAGCCAGAAATAGCTCAAATCGAAATAAGTAAATTACCAACAGATATTCAGGCTGAGGCGACAAACGCCATAGCCAAACTACTTCCATTTGAATCCCGAATAACTTATGAAAAGGAATACAACAACTTTCAAAAATGGAAGCAATTAAAAAACGTGCGAGAAAAAATAAAGTTTTTAACCTGTCCACGCTGTTAAAGTATCATTTAATCTACCCTTGCGGTTAAAGTATTATTTTATCTACTATTTTTGATAGATATAAGGCAATTTTTACAGTTGCTATGAAAATAAAATATATTTTTCATATCTTTAATATTTCGCGAAGTTATTCTTTTATATATTTAGTTAGTTCTGGCCTTTAATCTGATCACTGAATTTTAACAAATGACACCAAATATTTTATATTTTCTTTTTCTTCTTAATATGGAATACCATACAATTTGTTATATTTTGCACATAATTTGGGCCATCCCGGTTACGGTTTGATAAGATTCTGCACTAAGTTTGATAATGAAATTTTGTTTTTAGATATGGACCAATATTTTGCTATTTATTATTGATATTAGCTACAATTGGTTATTTGGTATTTGATACGCAGGATAATAGAAGTCGCTTAATACCCCTCATTGGTTTAGCCACCTTTCTGCTGCTAGGATTTATTATATCAGCTAACCATCGAAAGGTTCGTAATTAACACATACATGTGGCGATATTTTCTTTACTTAAATTCATATTCTTTATAATTTAATTAATATTTACCAACAAAATTTGAAAGCTGTTTTCATATTTGTGTTTGATATTAACAAATGAAACCTCTTTTTCAAATTTAGATGTTAAAAGTTACTCAATAAGTTTTTGTCAATCAACATAATTCAACTTTTATATAAACTGGGCAACGGCCCAACTACGCCGAAACACCGGTTCCCATTAGAACACCAAAGTTAAGCGACGTAAGGCGATACTAGTGGATGGACGGGTGACTGGTTCAAAACTCTGTATCATGCTGTTGTCCAAAAAAGGCAAAAGTGTAAAATCTATTGACACACAAGCCGGTTCGAGGCCGGATGAGATCGGATATCTCGTGAGTAAGAGTCGATTTAGACACTTGCCAAGTCGGTAGGCCATTGACCATGATATGGCCGAGGACCGCGGTTCGGATTCCGCGTAAACAAAGTAGGCCCCGTCCAGATTAGCCCTGGCAGCAAAAAGGAGACGTTAACTGAAATCTTTACTTTACTTTCGCAAGTATTTTTATCAGTTGTACTTCCCCATCCATCTACATTAAAAACTGGGATTGAATATTTGGAAAAAAGTGTATATTCTCACAGATAGCATACTATGTTATCTGTGATTTATAGTATTTTTAGATGTGATATGCTAGATAGTCCAAAAACAATTTACCTACAATAATTTATTTACTATAGTAATTAATAAAACAGGAGTTTTTTCAATCCAAGACATTATATTATCAAAAAAAACACCCAGGTCACTTCAGAAACTGAAGTATTCATATGCAGAATAACGTTTTAGTTAAACGCAAAACAACAATGTTATTTTTACATTTATAAGAAGTTTATTGCACCAAAACTATGTCTTACTACTGCAGTTTTTCAATAACTCTGCTGGTCTGTTCTTTACCAATCATAATTCTTTTATTCATTTATGTTTTCAAATGACTCTGAGTTCTTTTTGTTAAATGATATAAAAAACTCACAAACAATGAAAGAATAATGATCATTGTTATTATTTACTTGAATATGTTTTTCAGATTTGCAGCATGGTCAAATAAAATAAGGATATCGCTGTTATAATGATCAATAATAGCAGCACCGAAAAACATCATTAAAGTAAGAACCCTATACAACGGAAAAAAATTTCGTCAAATATAAAGTATTTGTTTTTTTTATGTTTTGACCAGTTTTCATGATTTTTTAGCAAACTGTATATAATAATAATTATATAAACTTTTATTATTAAACTCAGTTTTTACAAATTTCGACAAGGTTTATGATGTGTATGTATTAATTTTAGGATGAAATTTACAATGGAGATCACACAGTTGCCGTTAAAGACCATTATAGTCAAGAGGAACAATATAATAAAGTTAGAAATAGGCATATAAGAAAAGTCATAATAAGAATTGTCATATTCTTTATAGTTACCGGCTATTCACTATGGGCAACCTATTATTTTGTTAAAAACACAGGTAATTTTTAAGACGTTATGTTTGTTCTTACATAGTTACTATTTAATTTTTGCTGTTATTGACAATATATAAAAAATACAAAAGTAACAAGAAAGTAAATAAATTGCTTTCACTTTTGATAAAGGTGTCTCTTTAATTTCCTGTTATCATAATTTTTAATTTATTTAAGAGATTAGCCAACTTACTAGAAAGATAAAATATCAACGTGCAGATTTCTATTGTTTGATAAAAATATTAATTATACTTTATCTCTTGATCTCTGATCGAACAATAGAATATAGAATATTCCTTCTAAAACCAAATAAAACTTTATCAATATCAATCATATAAAATCCAATTGTGTTGAATATTAAATCCTATACTCACAATTCGTTGATGCGGTTTGTCGATGCGATTTGTCAATGCGTCGATTTGACTAGCCCAAGGGGTCTCTCGCTGTTCGAATTACATTTTATTGACAGTCGCTGGCAGCTGTTGGCATCAGTCGACTATAATTATACAGGGAAGTCGAACTGTATTCCGGAAACTTCGGCAGCATATTCCGCAGATAAAAATAAGTAAAAAGTTTGTACAAATGTATGTCCTAAAATGCTTAGTTTCTGAGATACAGGGTGTAGAAGTTTCATTTTTATTTCGATTTTTCCCAAATAATTTCTGAAGTAACGTTAATATTTGGATGAAAATTGATGTCTAGAGGTTTTTGACATGAGAAATTTGATTTAGATGTCAATATGACTCCTACCTGTAGAGGGCGCTATCTAAATGTGTTTTAGTTTTGAAGAGTAATAACTTTTTCGTCCGTACCTGTATAAAACCACTGACTAAAAAAATATACATTTCCATGACTTTTATGTAAAAATGTCTCTTGGTAAAAATCGCTACGAGCAACCGTTTTCCAGATATTTAGAATGGAATTAGTCAATACATGTCATTATTGACAAAAAATAAACATATAGTATATGTTGAGTAGATACTTATTTGACTGAAACGACAAATTTGGGAAGTTTTGTTTTTATTAAATTAATCATAAATTTTCCTTCTAAGAAATGATGATAAAACAGTTTTTGTTAAACTTTTGGCGCAAAAACGTTTCAAATTTAGGATTTCAGTGTAATAACTATTTAGTCAACATGTTTAATTTATGTCAATGATGATAGGTCTAGATAATTTCGATTCCAAATATTTCGAAAACCATTACTCCTAGTTGCTCCTAGCGATTTTCACCAAGAGACCTTTTTACGTAAAAAAACGTCATAGATGTATATTTTTTACTCAGCAGTTTTATACAGGTACTGATGAAAAGTTATTACTCTTCAAACCAGTTAAAAATATGTAGATGGCGCCCTCTACAAGTAGAAGTCATATTGACATCAAAATCAAAAGTTCTCATGTAAATAAACTCCCAGACAGCAATTTTCATCCAAATATTAACGTTACTTCAGAAATTATTTGAAAAAAAATCGAAATAAAAATGAAACTTCTACACCCTGTATCTCCGAAACAGCATTTTAGGTCATACATTTATAAGAACTTTTGCTTTATTTTTATCTGCAAAATATGCTGCCGAAGTTTCCGGAATACAGTTCGGGCCACCCTGTATGTATAGCAGACATAGGCAATCTTCTTCGCAGTCATTGGCACTCGCTTGTTAACGCATTGACATTTTGGCGGTACAATGATATTTTTGCAGTGCATGTACATTTTGTATCCAAGTGAAATACCACTCGAATATGCCAATGAGTTTGTCAAAGAAATATCACGAACACAATGGACGATTTGTATAATATTTTAATTTAATTATTGTAGACACAGATATAAAGATGGTTCATATAAGGCTAAGCTAATTGTCTAAATATCAATTTTCTTCAGTGATTATCTCTCTCACCTGTATCAAGATGTAGAAGACTTCTGTGCGGCAATCTCACAAAATTTGATTTGTTGTTCTCCTTGCATTATAATTATTGTATATTTTTAAGAACCCTATATGGTGGATATAAATTGTTTGTGTTTGAATTGTGAAATTTTCTTTAATAAAATTATTAATTATTTCAAATTTCATTACAGATCCTTTAGATTTGGATGCATTTTCGAACAGCACAGCGCAAGGTTATGGACTGCTTGTAATTTTATATATTTTTATCTATACACAAGTTTATATTATTATGTATTGAAGCCGTTCCTACTGCCCACAGTAAATAGATTTTTGTGGATACCTGGAGTACGAATTCTAAGCAAAATAAAGTAAGCTGTGAAAAATAGTATCTTTAACTAAAATAATTAAGATATATATTTAATATCATTATTGATATTGGCCACAAAAACTCATTACATGTCTCCATATCAGTGTACCGATTAATACTTTGATTGAAAAATAAATATGTATGTAAAACTTGATGGTATAAAATGGATATGACAGCTATTTTTTTATTCAAGACGATAAAATGGTATTTTATCGTCGACCGAAAAGTTTAATTCACGAGCGATGAAATCGCGAGTGAATTAATTCCGGAGACGATAATGCAATTTTATCGTCGTGTGTATAAAACAATATTTTTTCTATAGCGAGTTACGTTTTAAAAAATATTCAGAAATTATTATTTCAAGGAATTATTACGCGTAGAAAAATATTGTGCTGGGTTAGCGTTGGTTTCTATGTAGTTTGACAAATAAATAAAGCTGTCTCTTTAGTTGTCAGTTTTGAGTCAATATTTTTAATTCCCTTTCGTATCGATTGCTGATTGAATTGGAGCCAGAAATAGCTCAAATCGAAATAAGTAAATTACCAACAGATATTCAGGCTGAGGCGACAAACGCCATATCCAAACTACTTCCATTTAAATCCCGAATAACTTATGAAAAGGAATACAACAACTTTCAAAAATGGAAGCAATTGAAAAACGTGCGAGAAAAAATAAAGTTTTTAACCTATCCACGCTGTTAAAGTATCATTTAATCTACCCTTGCGGTTAAAGTATTATTTTATCTGCTATTTTTGATAGATATAAGGCAATTTTAACAGTTGCTATGAAAATAAAATATATTTTTCATATCTTTAATATTTCGCGAAGTTAATCTTTTATATATTTAGTTAGTTCTGGCCTTTAATCTGATCACTGAATTTTCACAAATGACACCAAATATTTTATATTTTCTTTTTCTTCTTAATATGGAATACCATACAATTTGTTATATTTTGCACATAATTTGGGCCATCCTGGTTACAGTTTGATAAGATTCTGCTCTAAGTTTGATAATGAAATTTTGTTTTTAGATATGGACCGATATTTTGCTATTTATTATTGATATTAGCTACAATTGGTTATTTGGTATTTGATACGCAGGATAATAGAAGTCGCTTAATACCCCTCATTGGTTTAGCCACCTTCTGCTGCTAGGATTTATTATATCAGCTAACCATCGAAAGGTTCGTAATTAACAATTTCGTCAATATTTGGACGAAAGTTGGTGTCTGGGAGTTTTTGACATGAGAAATTTGATTTTAATGTCAATATGACTCCTATTTGTAGGGGCGCCACCTAAATGTGTTTTAACTAATTTGAAGAGTAATAACTTTTTTCCGTACTTGTATAAAACTACCGGGTGAAAAAATATACATTTCTGTGATTTTTTATGTAAAATATGTCTCTTGGTAAAAATCGCTACGAGCAACCGTTCTCAAGATATTTAGAATGGAAATGGTAAATATATGTCATTATTGACAAAAAAATAAACATGTCGAGAGTACATAGTTATTTGACTGAAATGGTAAATTTGGGAACTTTTTATTTTTTAAATTAATGATGAGAAAAATTATTATGATAAAACAGTTTCTGTTGAATTTTTGGTTCCAAAATATTTGAAATTTATGATTTCAGTCTAATAACTATTTAGTCAACATGTTTAATTTATGTTATTGACGACAGGTATTGATAATTTCTATTCCAAATATCTGGATAACCATTACTCATAACGATTTTACCGAGAGACCTTTTTTACGTAAATGTACATTTTTCCACTCAGTAGTTCTATACAGGTATGGACGAAAAATTATTACTCTTCAAACAAGTTAAAATATGCAGGTGGGCCCTCTACAAGTAAGAGTCATATCTAGCTAAAGAGAAAAGAGAAAAGCGTTGATGGAGGATGATAATCTCGATCAACGACAAGGTAACAAGCTTGTATTGTAAGATTATAGAAATAATTACTTACTGTTTTAATTTCGGCGTTCGTAAACAAGCGTAAAAAGCGACACTTCCGCACTGCACATGCACACAGAAACGAATGAAGACAGATCGCGGAGGAAAGGAGCGACAGGAGAAAATACTTTAAACATGTGTGAGCACACGCGCCAGGGGCGGACTACATAGTAAATAATCAACTGATGTCCTGGGACCAGATTCTGAAAAATAATTAAAATTTAAAACAAATTATTGCTGCACTTGATGAGAGTTGGGCATTTACATATTATAGGTTAGAAATAGACTCGAATCGTTAATACTAAATTATTCTTTTATATTTGAATCGTTAATACTAAATTATTCTTTTATATTTGAATCGTTAATACTAAATTATTCTTTTATATTTAAAAAAAATACAAAGAAAAATATAACGGCCAACCATTATTTCCACTATTTCTACCGGGTGGTCCGAACTGTATTCCGAAAACTTCGGCAGCACATTCTGCAGATAAAAATAAGTGAAAAAGTTTGTATAAAGATATGTCCTAAAATGCTTAGTTTCGGATGTACAGGGTGTAGAAATTTTATTTTTATTTCGATTTTTTCGAAATAATCTCTGAAGTAATGTCAATATTTGGACGAAAGTTGGTGTCTGGGAGTTTTTTGACATGAGAAATTTGATTTTAATGTCAATATGACTCCTATTTGTAGGGGCGCCACCTAAATGTGTTTTAATTAATTTGAAGAGTAATAACTTTTTTCCGTACTTGTATAAAACTTCCGGGTGAAAAAATATACATTTCTGTGATTTTTTACGTAAAATATGTCTCTTGGTAAAAATCGCTACGAGCAACCGTTCTCAAGATATTTAGAATGGAAATGGTCAATATATGTCATTATTGACAAAAAAATAAACATATCGAGAGTACATAGTTATTTGACTGAAATGGTAAATTTGGGAACTTTTTATTTTTTTAAATTAATGATGAGAAAAATTATGATAAAACAGTTTCTGTTGAACTTTTGGTTATTTGAAATTTATGATTTCAGTCTAATAACTATTTAGTCAACATGTTTAATTTATGTCATTGACGACAGGTATTGATAATTTCGATTCCAAATATCTGGATAACCATTATTCGTAACGATTTTTACCAAGAGACCTTTTTTACGTAAATGTACATTTTTTAACTCAGTAGTTCTATACAGGTATGGACGAAAAATTATTACTCTTCAAACAAGTTAAAAATATGTAGGTGGGGCCCTCTACAAGTAAGAGTCATATTGACATCAAAATCAAATTTCTCATGTTAAAAAACTCCCACACACCAATTTTCATCAAAATATTGACGTTACTTCAGAAATTATTTGGAAAAAATCAAAATAAAAATGAAACCTTCAACACCCACTATCTCCGAAACTAAGCATTTTGGGATATATATATTTATTCGAACTTTTTTACTTATTTGTAATTGCAGAATATGCTGCCGAAGTTTCCGGAATACAGTTCGGACCACCCTGTATATTTTGGATAATTAAAATCCAAAACACAACATTATCACTTGAGAGGTCTCCAATCGTTAGTATTAAATTATTCTTTTATATTTAAGAAGTATATAAATTGTAATTAAAGAAACACAAATATTTATTATAAACTGTTATTTCCACTATTCATACCATTTTTGTAGGCAGAACTATAATAGAGGGCAGTAGAAATTGGAACCTTCATTATTAGTAACAGAAAAATAAAACAGTAGATCACTACAATACACTTTACTATTAGATATGTGAACTGGTTTCGTTAATTGTTGTGAACTAGTGTTTTATACATTCCAACAATGTATAGTTTTATGTTGACGATTTATTTTCAGGTACCATGGGCAACAGTATTTTGGGGAATGGCTCTGCAGTTCGCTTTTGGTTTTCTAACCATAAGATGGGACACGGGAAGGAAAGTGTTAGAAACATTTTCAGATCATGTCAATACATTTATGGACTACGGTGTAGCGGGAGCGGCATTTACTTATGGAGATTTCTTGGTTAATGAAGCGCAAGTGTTTGCATTTAGAGTAAGTATATTATATCATTTTAAGTTACAAAAAAGGAGTAATCCATTAAGACTACCAAATATATTCTTATAAAATTCAGTAACCGATCAGATATCTATAATAAATCATAAAAGATTAAAATTTATTAATGTTTTTGTATACCAAAATATAATATTTAATTCTCTTAATGATTAGATATCTCAATTTTATTAATATTGTAAAATATCAATAGTGCTTCATTTTCAGGTATATTATTTGTATAGGTACCTAAACCTACCAAAAAATAATATTGGGTCTTCGTCTTCTTCTTCTGCTCATTTGGGGAAATCTAGTCGATCTGTTAGTTCTTGGGAGGTGGATTGCAACCGTCATTCCATCTTTTTGAAGGTCTTCCCGGCTGTCTCTTACCCCTTCAAGAGCTATGTGTAGCCTGTTTTCTTTCATGCTTTTAACTTTTGCGAACCATTTTCTTGCTCTTTGCCTACCCCATCTCACTACGTCCTATATTCCACATTGTTGTCTAATAATCTGTCTCTTCTAGTCTTCTCCATTATGGTTTTTAGGTTCTTCATTTCAGCAACCCTTAACATGCTTTTGATTTTGTTTGTTTTCTCGGATTTCTATGCCATATGTTATGATGGTATATGTCTGATGGTATATGTTATAATGGATATGTCTGATGCAGGTCTTATAAATTTTAATTCAGCTGTCTGTTCGCATAAAGGTTTGCATAAAGGGATTTGTCCACACTATTTGCCACTTTATATTGTTTATTTGGCTTTTTAGATCTTTCTCTGGATCGTGGTAGTCCGACATATCAATTCCTAGGTATCTAAATGGAGATACTTGCTAAATAATTTTGTTTTCTACTACCGTCTCTTTAGAGAAAGTTAATCATCTTTTTTTCTACAGAGATAATCATAATTAATTCTTGGTTTACTTGATAGAATTTTTGAAGCTGTCTCTGCATATCGTCCTCTGTCTCCGCGATAATGGCTGCATCATCAGCGTAACACACCATGCTAACTCTGTTGTGTTCCATTCGATAACCGATATTAATCGAGGTCACCTCTTCTATGATGATTAAAAAATTGAATAAGAAGGAGCTAAAGCTGTCTCCTTGTCTAATGCTTCCTTGTGTGGGTATGTCTCGTGTTAGATTATTCCCTGCATTTATTTGAGTTGTGTTATCGATAGCTTGTGTTATCGATTAGCTTTCTAATTATTTTCTCGATATTATCAGGCAATTTTTTCACTTTCAGTATGTTTATAATGTCAGATAGGCGTTCTTTATCGAATGCTTTAGCCAAATCGATGAAACAGATATATACATCAGGGTGAGTTTCCTTTGATGTTCTCTATGGGTATCTCGGAAACTACTGGAAATAGAGAGTCGGTTAAATGGGGAACTTACTTTACTTTTTCGTGTCCGGAACATTCTATATTTTCTCGACCCAATATTGAGCCACGTCCAATGCTTTAGGTTTGCTTTGCCATAAATCGTCGTAGTTACAATGTGCAGGACAATTAACACACTTTAGAAGGTGTTCCATCATTGTATCATCCAACAGTCGCATTTGTCGTCATTTGGTTGCGCAAGGCCCCATCTGATCAGATTGGTTTTTACCGGAGCAACTTCTGTTCTTATGTGGTTCAACATTCTCCAGGTTTTAAAGTTGAACGAGGCACCACTAGGCAGGCTTTCTGACAGAGGATAGTTTGTGGGTGGTTCATCCAGGGGGCTGCTGAGAAATCGTCGTCTGGATTATTTTTAGATTCTTGGTATTGCCCGAAAAGTGGATGACGATTGTGTTTTTTTAAACTTCTCGCTGAATTCATGTGCCTCCCTACTGAGTTAGGACTGTGAAAACCTGCTGCTTGGTACAGTTTATCCAGCGGAGCAGCCTTCATGCACCCTGTCACAAGTACTACAAGTTTCGTTGAGGCTTACATCGACCTTTTTGGCATGCGCCGATCTTGACCAGACAGGGCAGGCGTATTCGGCTGTGGAGAAACATAACGCTTGTGCCGTCGTTCTTAGGACATCAGGTTTAGCGCCCCACTTACTGTGGGTTAGTTTTCTTAATATATTGTTCCTCGCAGCCACATTTTGACGGGTTTTTTCGCAGTGGTGTTTGTAGGTTAGAGATCTGTCGAGTGTGACTCCAAGGTACACAGGTTTATTTGTGTGTTCAAGGGTCTCTCCGTTCCAAGCGACCTTAAGTTTGCGGTTTGCTAGTCGTGTGTGAAGGTGGAATGCACAGACCTGTGTTTTGGAAGGATTTGGTTTTAAGGAGTTCAGCTCATAGTAGGCAGACATGGCGTTTAAAGCGCTCTCTAACCTTGCTTCAACCTCTTCAAAGGTTCTTCCTTGAGCTGTAATGCCCAGGTCGTTGGTGTAGATATTAAACAAAATCGGAGCCAGCACGCTTCCCTGGGCTAGGCCGTTTCTTTGGTATCTCCAGCGGCTTTTTTTCCCTTCAAGGGTGACATAGAATTGACGGTTTTGCGAGAGTGATTCTATTATCTTCATTAATTGGTAGTCTCCTGTTGTGTTATATACTTTTGACAGCATTTTGCGGTGGTTGACGGTGTCATAGGCAGCGGTTAGGTCGACAAGGACCAGCCCCGTAATTACTTTGTTTTCATATCCCTTTTCTATATGCTCTGTGAGGGCTAAGACTTGATTGGTGCATGATTTACCAGGTCTGAAGCCAGCCTGTTGGGGTATGATTTTTGAATCGATGACGTTGCTAATTCGGTTTAGTATCAGTCTTTCATATAGTTTAGATAGATGACACAGCAGCGAGATTGGTCTGTAGCTGTTCGCAGAGTTGGGATCTTTCCCTGGTTTTAGGAGGGCAACTACTTTTGACTTTTTCCATAGCTTTGGTATCCTGAAATTCTCTCGGCAGTGGTTGAAGAGTTGTAAGAGCCCAAAATGTTTGATTTGTTCGACGCACATATCATCGACTCCGGCAGCTTTTCCGTTTTTCAGCGTGTTTATGCCATCGTTGAGTTCCTTTATTGTAAAAGGAGAACCAAAATATTTATTTTCACTGCGGATATCTCGATGCAGTCGTGCTTTCTGACCTTTTGTCGTTGGCTTTCCATTTAGGAGGAGTTGGTGGGCTACTTGATTGGCTGTTACTTTGGATGGTTCCTGGGTTTGCTTGGGGTCACCATCAAGTTTCTTGATGAGGTTCCATGCTATCTTACTGCTGTGTTTCATGTCTATCCTTTCTAGGGACTCTATCCACTTTTTTTGTCTTGTCTCGCTAAGTGTGGTCATCAGAGTCGTTCCGCATGTTATTGTTTCATCACTAAAGGGGTCCTTGGAATATAGCTCTTCATATTTGGTTAGTATGTCCTTCGTGTTACTAGTCAGCCCTGGGATACAGTTTTGTCTACAACCTCTTGGAATATGTTTTCTTGATACTTTGCGCAGAGTGTCCACAAAGTCCGTGTAGTGATTAGGTGTAGCGTCGACCTTTTTGATTGCCCTATCCAATTTCTCGGTAAAGTCCGCCCATTTGGCCTTTCTGAAGTTGAATCTTCTACGAAAGGGTACCGTGGCAGATCTCACAGCCGAGAAAACCTGGATGCCTACAGGTCTGTGTTGGGTTTTGGGGATAGCTTCATAGACATTTTTGACACAACAGTCTTGGATGTTACTGCTGATAAAGCAGTTATCTGGGTTGTACCCTTGCTTCCAGATTTTGCTCATAAAGGAGCAAGGTAGCTTTGAGTCGTGGAGCAGTTGGAAGTTTCTTGTTTCCATCCATTCTTCCAAGATGGAGCCGTTCGCGTCGGTTTCTGTATAACCCCAGTTAATACTATGGCAGTTGAAGTCGCCTATGATAAATTGGGTTTTTTGGCTTCCGAAGTTTCCTGGCATATTAAGTTCGGTTTTTTCACCTGGGGGTTTGTAGACTGATGTAACCGTGAAAGATCCGCATTCTATGGTGAGAATCTCGGTTCCATTCATTACAGTTTTGCCTGTGGAGGTTAAGTTAGTGTCAGGCTTGACGAAGATTGCACTGCCGTATTTGTTGTGTGGTGCCTCGATAGCGAGTCGCATTCCTTCTATTTTAGGCCTGTGCGCTTGTTCATCTCTATGCGTTTCCTGTAGGCATAATATGTCCCATTTGTGAATTTGGCATAGTTGGGAGATCAGGTCTTGTTTGTTCCGGGTAAATCCTTCGACGTTCAGGCTAGCAATTGTCAGAGATGGCTCTGAGAAGTGCCTTTTGTTTCTGTTCTTAGCTCCTTGCATTGGGTTCCGGTGGTGGAAGGATTGGCCGATGTCCTTGCGGGCATCGTTACGAGGGAGCGCCGGCATTTTCTTGCTTATTGTTTGGCTGCTGAGAAAATACACACGTGGAGGCTCCTTCCTTGCTCCCCTAAATGGGGAAAGAATTGCAGTTTTGTGAGGTCATAAATATGCGCCTTTTAGATTTTTGAAAAAGTTCATGGCTTACTAGATATTTCGAAAAAAACAAATTTCGGCTATTTTAAAAATTGTCCCCAATTCCATTATAAGCTATTTTAGACAAAAAGTTTTTAGATAAAAGTTGTAGATAATCACATCTTTAATGAGATTGTGTCCTCCGCTTTTTTCTAAAGCCTGTCGTTTTTGACATATGATACAAACATATGTTTTTTTAAATGGAAACCATAATTGGCCATGACTTCATAAAAAGCGCCATTTTTAAGCTTTTTAGCGATATAAGCGATAATATGTTTTCTTCGAAAAATTACTGAGTTATAGCCAATTCTTATCATTTTTAAACAATTTCAATTAGTTAGCCACGGAAACAAGTTCAATCGCCTTTGCTCTCAGAAATGTGAAGCTGTCACATCCAAACTGTGTAAATTAAAATAAACAAAAATTGTAAATATTAGTTTTTCAAATGAAGAAAAACGTGTAGATACTCGCGCATCAATAGAGTGTTTCCAACATGACTTTCATTATGACCCCCCCCCCAGAATAAAAGAAATGTTAAAAATTATTTATATCATAATTATGCAAACTCAGGGATAGGAAGAGGTGGATTAATTGCATGGGCCTCCTCGATCACCTGACCTATCCATTTTAGATTTTTTATGCGGTATGGTTGACGATAAGGTTTACAAAAGAATTTATGAATTAAGAGAGGCATTCGAAATGGCAGTACGAGAGAAGTTTAATTAAGTCGACCGTTCCTTCTGTGAGAATAGGTAGTAATTCAGTTTTAAAAAGATGCAACTCAAAACAATGGAACAATTTTTTGAACATTTTCTAAAATAACTTAAAGCGTTAATATCACTGCATGATATTATTTTTTTTAAGTTTTAGTTTGTGTAATGTAAATTCTAAGAAACGTTTAGTAATATATTCTGACTTTTTAAAAATTGTAAATCATAACAGAATAAGAATACAATGCAATCTAAGTGAAATTAGGCAAGAAAGATAAGAATTTGCTATAACTAAATTTAACTTTTCTAACAAGTCTTGAAAACCGTTCTCTAAATAACGTAACATTCGCCGGTCAACGTATCCTCGAAAATGTATGGTCAAGGAAAGTTGAACCAACAACCCTACGCTTTTTTTCATTTGAATAATTCATATTGACAATTTTTGTTTATTTTAATTTACAAAGTTTGGATGTGACAGTTTCACATTTATGCGAGCAAAGACGATTAAACTTGTTTCCATGGCTAAATAAGTGAAGTTATTTAAAAATGATAAAAATTGGCTATAACTCGATAATTTTTCGAAGAAAACATATTATAGCTTATATGGCTGAAAAGCTTAAAAATGGCGCTTTTTATGAAGTCATGGCCAACTATGGTTTCAATTAAAAAAAACATATGTTTGTGTCATATGTCAAAAATGACAGGCTTTAGAAAAAATGGAGGACACAGTCTCATTAAGGATGTGATTATCTACAACTTTTATCTAAAAACTTTTTGTCTAAAATAGCTTATAATGGAATTAGGTACAATTTTGAAAATAGCCAAAATTAGTTTTTTTTAAATATCTAGTACGGCCATGAACTTTTGTAAAAATCTGAAAGGCGCATATTTATAACCCCACAAAACTGCAACTCTTTCCCCATTTAACCGACTCTCTATCTCCAGTAGTTTCCGAGATACCCATAGAGAACATCGTAGGAAACTCACCCTGTATATAGGCTGGTGTATTAAACTGTATTGCTAAGATTGGGTAAATTAAGTAATTTTTGATGATGAATGATAATTTATCTTTCTATTAAAATTAAGTGACATTAATTATACCTTTTACTTCATTTCTAGGCTCTTTCCGTAATATTTTTTGTTGGATTTGTCGTAAATTTACTGTATTATTATGGTCTAATGCAAAGATTTGTTAATATGCTGGGACAGTTCCTACAGTACATAATGGGCACTACAATTTGTGAAAGCGTAAATAGTGTTGCAGTTGCATTTGTCGGCATGGTAAAAATAAATTTGAAGAAATTACATATTTCCAAACTAACTCACTTTTTTACAGTCGGAAGGACCCATGATGTTAAGACCATATTTAAAATTTTTGACTGATTCTGAAATTCATTCTATGTTATTGGCCGGTTTTGCATCAGTATCAGGTAAATTAAAGCCACGAGAAACAAAAATAGTTATATGACAAGAATACGTATTCATCCGGTATATATATACAATATACATATGTGTATATTTAATTATTAGTGCGGGATGAATACGTTTGAATCATGATATAAACGAACCATTTACTGAAAACCAAGGATCAACCAAAAATTACCTCCAAGTACTGTAGCTTTAGAACTTTTGCTTTAGTTACAGCCAATCCATTAATTGAAAACCGGAAGTCTGTAAGTGTAATAAATACAAAACGATTGAAAAAAAACGGTATCAAAGACGGCTGGGGAATGACAATCGATAATAATTTTGGCAAAGTCTAGCGTAGACGTCATTACTTTTCCCCGTACTCTCTTTCAATGGCGCCAGTTGACCTTAAAAAGGTTGTAATTTATATTTATATAGAGAAAAGATGATTTTTTTCCATAGTAACTGTTAAAATTGCCTTATATCTATCAAAAATAGTAGATAAAATAGTACTTTAACCGCAAGGGTAGATTAAATGAAGAACACTTTATTTCTTCTCAAAACTGACAACTAAAGCGACAGCTTTATTCGAGGCTTTATTTATTTGTCAAATTACATAGAAACCAACGCCAACCCGCACAATATTTTTTCTACTCGTAATAAATTCCCTGAAATAATAATTTTTGAATATTTTTTAAAACGTAACTCGCTATGGAAAAAAATATTGTTTTATTCACGACGATAAAATTGCATTATCGTCTCCCGCAATTAATTTAATTAATCTTTTCGGTCGACGATAAAATACAATTTTATCGTCTTGTATAAAAATTAACTATAAATGGTGTAGTTTAAAATTCTAGAAATATTTTTTTTGTAAATTAATTTTGTCTTTCTTGAAGCTTTCTATCCTTTTTAGTCTTTCTATAATTAGTGTTAATGTCAAGTTTTATGTCAATTTTTAGTAAATGACGTCTAGCGATTGACCTCGCCAAACTTATCAACGATTGTCATCCACAGCCGTCTTCGACGCCGTTTTTTTTCGATCATACGGTACAATATAGAATTCCAAAAATATGTTACTACTAGTCCTCTACTTTAATGTGTTTGTGTTAGCGCCATTCTTGAACAAATATTTTTACGTACTGTAACTGTATAGAAAATGTATGCGAATCCATGATTTTGTTCTACAAGCATTCGCAATCATTATTCCTTTTCTTCTACCTCGAATGTATAGTATCTGCAAAATAGAAAATAGGTTGAAATATATCGATAAAAAATATTTTAATTGTTTACTAAATGAAACTATGTTTCCGCTATAGATTTCAAAATATTTTAGGATCAACATTTGCTGCTTACATTAGCTATGGTGCCAGAGCTCAAGATTTAGTTACAGCCAGTATAATGTCCGCTCCTTCTGCACTCTGCTTTAGCAAGATTCTTTACCCTGAAACAGAAGAGGTTAAGATAAAGAAAAAGGACATTCACATGGTTGAAGTGTAAGTTGCTTATACTAGGCAATAGATTCTAATTAAATTTATGTGAATGAATAATTGAACCATTCAAGATTTTCCCTCGTTGTACTAGTAGTACTATACAGGGTGGTCCGAACTGTATTCCGGAAACTTCGGCAACGTATTCTGCAGATAAAAATATGTAAAAAAGTTTGTATAAATGTATGTCCTCAAATGCTTAGTTTCGAAGATACAGGGTGTAGAAGTTACATTTTTGTTTCGATTTTTTCCAAATAATTTCTGAAGTAACATCAATATTTGGATTTGGTACCTGGGAGTTTTTTGATATGAGAAATTTTATTTTGATGTCAATATGATTCCTACATGTAGAGGGCGCCACCTACATATTTTTTAACTGGTTTGAAAAGTAATAACTTTTTGTCCGTACCTGTATAAAACTACTGAGTAAAAAAATATACATTTATGGAGTTTTTTACGTAAAAAAGGTCTCTTGGTAAAAATCGCTACGAGTAATGGTTATCGACAGTGGCGGATACAGAATTAAAATCTGTAATTTGGGTTAAATATTCGGCTTTTGGTTTAAAAATGGCACCCTAGAATGCATATTCTACATTACTTTTTATTTGGGCCCCCCTAAAATAAATTCTTGTATCCGCCCCTGGTTCTCGAGATATTTGGAATCGAAATTATCAATACCCCTATCATCATTGACATAAATTAAACATTAAACACTAAATAGTTATTAGACTCAGATCATAAATTTGAAATGTTTTTGTGCCAAATGTTCAGCAGAAACTGTTCTATCATCATTTTTTCGCAAAAAATATGATTAGTTTTTAAAAAATGTCCAAATTTATTATTTCAGTCAAAACTATCTACTCAACGTGTTTATTTTGTGTCAATTATGACATGTATTGACTATTTCCTTTCTAAATATTTTGAGAACGGTTGCTCGTAGCGATTTGCCAAGAGACATTTTTTAAGTGAAAATCACGGAAATATATATTTTTTTACTCTGTAGTTTTATACAGGTACGGACGAAAAGTTATTAATCCTCAAAACAGCTGAAACACATGTAGGTGGCGCCCCCTACAAATAGGAGTCCTACTGACATCAAAATCAAAATTCTCATGTCAAAAAACTCCCAGACAGCAATTTTCATCCAAATATTGACGCTTCTTCATAAATTATTTGGAAAAAATCGAAATAAAAATGAAACTTCTACACCCTGTATCTCCGAAACTAAGCATTTTAGGACATATGTTTATAAAAACTTTTTCACTTATTTTTATCTACAGAATATGCTGCCGAAGTTCCCGGAATACAATTCGGACCACCCTGTATACACTAACGAAAAGATGACACGGGTATAATTATTAAGCTTTTAATATCTACTCGCCTCACACTAATATAAGAGATAAATGTAGCTAGATGCACTGGATGTATACTCCGAATGTCTATTGTTGTTTCTTCCATCCCTGTTTTTTTTAAATGCTTATCAACGCCTAAAAAGAATAACCAAAAACACAGTCGAAAATGTTGACGCGAGGTTCCATTTGACAAGTAAATGACAAAATCACAGTCTGCTCCATATATTTAATATGGGAAGTGTCTTAGATTTTACTTTTTTGTTACGATTTGCGTGCTTTCTTTGATTACAGTTGAAGGTTGGAATCTTTGGTGTTTCACAACAGCAAAATAAAAACACTAATTTACCACAATACACCAAAACATTTTGTTATAACTATGTTAGCATCATGAGCAGATGATTAATACTCAACTGGAGTGGGTAATTCTAAAAGTGTGCATCACGGCGACGCTAATTTTGAGGAAACATTAACCGAGTAATTTAATGAACTTAAAGAGACTTAAGTGATATGAAGATCATCGAGCCAATGATTTTTTTTTCTGAAGAGTAACCATAACTCCGATTCCGAATCTCTTACCTGTAGAGAAAAAGGATTGAATAATAAATACCCGAAACGAAAGTAATGTAACGTCTATCTAGACCAAGTTAAGGAGGTGGAGAAAATGGAGACAGATCCTTCCGTCTACCTCTCACGGGTACCTCAGCCGGAGGCAAGCTTCTAGATTGTGAAGGGCACGGGGAGCCAAACTCCAACCGTGGAAGGGTGTGTACCCTCGTAGGAAGAACATCTGTTGCAACACAAACAAAATATATATTTATCAAAATAGAGCGAACAACAAATAAAAATATTTATTTATCTAAATAGAGCGACCAGCGAGCTGCCACCTCAAGAAAGGCAATGGTAAACCACCTTGAGCATATTTGCCTTGTACAGCCTCTCAAATAGTGCCGTTTGGATTCGGCGATAAACTGTAGGTCCCGTGTACTTGTGAAACACTGATTACACACATCACAAGTACATGCGAAGTAGCCGACGCTCTGTATAGAGTATGGCACTGTAAGAAGAAGAAGTAAAAAAGTATGGGAAATACCCTGACCCCTCTACAACAGAGGTATGATGGGTTATAGACTGGGTGATGATACTAACTCCATTCTTTGTTACGTTAACTACGTAGTTAGTAGCTAATCGGATGCCGTAATGTTGCGAGGAGGGTTTTAGGAGACCCTATATAATTTAAATGCATACTGTGTACATATTATTTTATTCTAAGTCTATGGTACATATATATGTTACTGTTAATGTCCGAAATAAAGTTAATCTCAATATTACCTGGGTAATCTCGAGAATAACATAAAGCAAAATAAGTAAAAACAAAACCAAACATTAACGTGTTAATGTCGACATTAACTGACATTATCTTCATTTCGGATTCTAATCCGTACATTGAACAAAAACATAATTATACATTGTTTTGATATTTATCTTATATTACGTGTAAGCATATTTGGTTTACACTCTTTCTCAAATTATATGTATATGCATTCAAGATTAATTTCTATAAATTTTAGGAAATATAACTCAGCTATGGATGCAGCAAGTAAGGGAGCTACAGACGGGTTTCACTTAATTGCCGCTATTATATCTGGTGTTACCGCTACTTTGTCTTTTGTATATTTTATAAATGGAGTACTCAAATGGCTTGGGATCCTTGTTGGTAAGTGTTTCAAAGAAGAAGATACTAAGATACCTACACTTCACGAATGTATTGTACAGGGTGTCCCACTAAGAATAGCTCTCGGCTGTATCTCGGAAAGTATTAGCCGTAGGGCTTACGGAAAAAAATATTTATAACTAAAGAGGCTATGAGAAATTGCTGGAAATTATTTTCAAGATTGTAAAACGGTCGCTAGGGGGCGCAACTGCTATGGAAAATAAGATAATAGAATTTTTACAGAATTTTCTCTAGATAATGGGTGCTATAAATATATGAAGCTATTATTCAGTAAATTTTGGATTTTTTTTGTTAGAACCATTTTCCCCTATCTGTTAAAATAAAGTGGTGGGGGAAGGTTAGATATTTGCCTTTATTACTTGAAGTAGTTGAAGTTGTTGACATTTTGAAAAAGCAATCAAAAGATAAAAAAACGCTGCTAAGACTATAAAAATGTTGATCTAATAACAATTTGACGTTTATACTACGTCAAAAGCAACTTTTTTCCAAAGCCTACCATGACTTCACTGAGGCTTCGGTTATTTTTCACTGTTTTTAATATCTTAATTATTAGATATTAATACATCTGGTATTATGGTATTCTGGTATTTCGTCGATTTTAAAATAAACTAACCGTTTCTATCTTATTTTTTTGTTAGAATGGGTATAATCAAGAGGGCTACTAACTGATACCGTATTGTAAAAATAAGATAATTAAGGGCTTATTTTTGGTATTTATTATAATTTTACTAATATCTTCGGTTTGAAAGAAGATAACAAGATGCGGTTTTCGCTGACTTTTTAAGCTTTTACTACTCTTTACTATCAGCTAAAAAAAATAAATACGATAGTATATGTAATTACTATCGTATTTATTTTTTTTTTTTTGAAAAAAAACGCGCTATGTTTGTTAAATTGCAAGAAAGCGCCCCCTAGCGTCTACGTTCAAAACCTTATTATTATTATTTTTATATGGTATAATATAGAGTAAGAAACGCTCTTTAAACGAGCTCTCGTTTGTTGGATTCTGATCATCCAGTCCGGAGTTATTAACATTTAAACAAAGATAGATCTAACCTTCTCCCACCACTTTATTTTAGCAGATAGGGGGAAATGGTTCTAACCAAAAAAATCCAAAATTTACTGAAGCTTATGAAGCTATTATTTATAGTACCCATTATCTAGGCAAAATTCTGTAAAAATTCTATTTTCTTATTTTCTATAGCAGTTGCGCCCTTAAGCGGCTGTTTTACAAACTTGAAAATAATTTCTCATAGCCTAAAGGGCTATAAATATTTTTTTCCGTAGCTTTTTCCGGCTAAAGAGCTATAAATATTTTTTTCTGTAGGCACTAGGGCTAATACTTTCCCAGATACAGCCGCGAGCTATTCTTAGTGGGACAGCCTGTACACTTAAAGAATTAAGTGTAAAATTAATTAAATTAATTATAATTAATTTACTTTGTTTTTTTTTATATATCTTACATTTACCTTTGAGCTAAAATGTATGATATCTCGTATTCATCTATGTACAAGATTAATAAATTTATTATTAATGATTCACACAATTTGCATAATTTTAGAGTCAACTTTTAAGTTTAATAAATTAGAAATTTCCAACTACCAACTGGAGAGTTTTAAAATGTTTGTTTTATACAGGTTTTACAGATGAATCGGAAATATGGTCATTAGAATTGATAGCTGGTAAGATTTTCATACCAGTAGCGTGGATTATGGGTGTGAATTGGGACCAATGTGAGAAGGTGGGTCAGCTTATAGGGATTAAAACAATGGTAAATGAATTTGTTGCATTCTCTAGAATGCAGAACATGACTCTCGAGGTAAGAATAATGTGCTAAAGGTAATATTAGCAATAAATAATGAATATAATGGCAGATTCAAATTCTGTATATAAATAATCACTAGTATCTCATTTTACTTACTACAAATCAAACACAAACTTTGTACAATCAGATGCAAAAAAATTGGCGCCGGGAGGCACGTATAGCCGCCCATACTAAATATGTTAATAAAAAGTTGGTAGGCAGTTCTTTAAGTTTCAAAGTAAAGGAATTTTTCCCCTATCCGCCACCATTTTCACAAAAACGGACTACTGAAACACGGAATATCTCAAAAACTGCGACTTTGACTGATTTTCATGTTATTACAAATTTTGTTGCAAATATTATTCCTAATCTTAAATTGAAAACCGCGTTTCGCTAGCTACTGTAATTTCGGAGTTAAGATTTTTTTAAATTTTTATCGTGTTACAGACGGACAGACGGACAGACAGACACAATGAAAATATTTTGTTTGGGCTAAATATATGACAATATAACATTTTAAACTTGACCAAAAATTTTTCCTTTGCGCTTTTTTGCATCTCAGTGAATATAAAATTTGATTTTTCTTACATAGCCAAGTAAAATATTGGCATTACATGTGTGAGTATTTATTATGCATATATCATTTTATTTTTTAGCCAAGAAATAAAGTCATAGCAACATATGCCATTTGCGGATTCTCAAATCCCGGTTCTATAGGAATCATGATATCGACTATGGCTGCACTGGTCCCAGAAAAGAAGGAAAACGTTACAAGACTGATATTCAGAGCATGGGTAGGAGGCTCTCTGGTCTGCTTTATGACGGCCTGTATAGCTGGACTCCTAATGACGGATGAGGGTTTATCCGGTTTTGACAGTACATCTATTTCCTTGACATATTTAAACGATACAATTCCTTCATTTTAGCATTAATTAATTTATTAATGTGATGTTTTGTAATAGTATTAGTTATTTTATCACTTTACATTATTGTAATGATTGACAATTCTTCAATAATGCAATTATTGAAGAAACTAATTGAAGGGGTGCAATAAACAGGCAGCTCCACTTTTTTTGAAAATGAGATTTTTCATGAATTGCCCTTTAAAAAAATTGGCTGACCGTTTCCTGCAACAATCAGTTCTTTCAATGTATCCGTACATAAATGGCGACGTTAGTTGGAGCTGCCTTGCTCTGGGTTTGCAGCAAGAACCGAGCCAGTTCTTATTCGATTTTCCACAAATTTATTAAAATGGAGCCGCCTGGTTATTACAGCAACCCCTTCAATTGATGCGAGTCTTTTTAACTTAATTTAACAATTTTGCTACTTAAGATATTCAAATGTATTTATGGATTAAAATCTGTCAAAAGAGTCAAGGAAGATCTACGATACCCAAGCCAATGACATAATATTCAGTTTATCATCAGCCAGTGTTTGGTATTGTCTCGTTTGACTGAGTTTCGAAGAAAAACATTTTATAATAGTTTTTGATTTGATAATTTATTTGTGCTGTATTGTGTTTATTTCATAAATTTTCTTTTCGACATTTGGTTATTTGTGTAACTAGTAGTGTAAAAAGGACATATTTGTTGCACGACGCGAGAGTTTGGTTTGGAGCTGCAATCATGCTGAGTGCAACAAATATGCTTTTTGCATATGTTGCACACAACATTTTTTCTACGATCGAATTGAAATTCTTATTTATATATCTATTAAAATGTTTTTTACAGTAATTCACAGAATAATATTACCACCAACAGTGACACTATAAACCCATATTATTTTTATTTTTTTAATAACTCTTTTTGAGTTGATTATTTTAATTTTAGTGTCGCAGTTTGAACAATTCAATAAGGGAATTGATGGATAAACCTTATTTCCAGTATTTTTTTGTATTTTATTTTTATTTCTGCTCGTGGAGGTCTTGGGTTCTTGTTCTTCACTTAAAACTCTTTTCCGGAATGTTGCTGCAAAGTACTGGTACTTGGTTTACCTTCAAGAATTAAAAAAAACAGAAATGCGGTATTCTAGAGTACACGCCTGGTCGAGGGTTAAGTTGCAAATCTATGATTTTTTTCTTGTTAAATGCTCATTGTTGTCTGTCTGCACTACTACATCCACTAGTTCCTACTTAACTCCTAAGTTTTCTCCTAACAGTTTTTGTTAAATTACTTATAATCGGCATGTCCAAAATTGTTCTTATTTGGCATGTGTATTCAGCAAACGCAGACCTTTAAAAAATATATTTACGACTTCGCTGTAAAAGTAACAGAGGAGCCAATATTTCCAACAGTTCAAATTTTGCATGGGATTTCTTATGTTTCAAACGGCGATGCACCACCTTGGAATAAATACTTTGGTATATTACACCTACTATAACAATTTCTGTTTAATATATTTTATAAATTCAATAGTCAGTTAAAGTTTTCCACTTTTGTTTTATCTTTGGTCTAATTGAATATTTGAATAATAAATAATAGTCTATTAATTTAAACAGAGTTTCTGTATTCTTTTCAGTATTACTGTAAGTATTCTATTAGTTTTATGATATTGTTATTACTTTATGTATTTTAAGAGTTTATTTTGTTTAAAAAATAAAATTTATTTATTATTAACAGTTTGTAGACTTATTGTGAATATTAAAATTCCTAGTTTCTATCAAACTTAATATCATCATCATCATCATCATCATCATCATCATTTTCAGCTTATTCAACCATTTCTAATTACGGTGAAGCCCTATTTTGTGAAGTAGTACGAGGCAAGCAAGGTCAAACGTTGTGGTGGCTTCAGAAAAATAAGTAAACATGAAAAAACTGATATGAAAACAGTTACCGATGATAAATTAAATTGGCTATTCTTTGAAAGTTACATAAGAATATTTAGTGTTAATCATTGTCTAATATTATTAATTACAATATAGTAAAAAAAATATAAAACAGTTACTAACTACCGGTCTACCATTTATCGGCTTATAATCCACAGTATTGCTCCTCATCAAAACAAAATATACACAAAATTATTTAAAAAATCGTCTAATTATGTATTATTTCTGGTTATGGTAAAGTAACATTTATACTGTAGTCTGTAGCAAAGTTTAGTTTACGAATTTGGTTTTGTTTTCCTAGTTTTAATTGTCTAAATCCCTGCGTAATAAATACTAGTTGAATGGATTTATATCAGACCAAGCTGGGTGCTAATAAAAGTATCGTTTACAGATTTCTCTTAAGAACAATAAAAGGGCATTGCTTTTAAATAATGTCAGTAAACAATACTTTTGTTGACATCGGGTCAATTAATAATTTTCCAAAGCGGATATATTGATAATATTACCATTATTACTCATCAAGCAATACTCATCATCATGATGAGTACATAATTGAGTACCAGTATTATTCATCAAGCAATACTACTCTTATATCAATCAATTAAGGCCGTAAACAAACATATCATATACAATTTTTTATACTAATTCATTATAATAAAATTAAATCATAAAAATATTTTAATTATATTCCTGCAGTTTAAGTGAAAAGTTTTGTGCCAAAATATCTACTATACATATAATAAACGCGTGTTCAAATATTAATTCTGTGAAATATATAAACATAACAATATAACATAAAACGAGATGTAATGATGTAATTAACGAAATATTATCCTAACTTTACTTATTTCACTGAGATTTATGAAAAAAATCCTTTGCCTCGGATACAGCTACTGCCACGTTTTGGAAATAGCTCAAAACAAAACAAAATTGAACGAAGCAACAAAAAAACGCCAAAAAAATCCCCCCTCGCCCTCCTCACGAGTAGTTTTCAGGCGCTTTTAAGAATCGAAAGTAGGTCGAGGCAAACCGAAGTAGGTCAAGACAACTCGAAATAAATCGAAATGCGCCAAAGATGGGCGACGAAATGCGACCTTGACATGTTTCGGGTTGTTTCTGGCATAGTGTGTACGCTGTTTAAGAATCGAAAGTAGGCAGGTCGAGGCAAACCGAAGTGGTCAAGACAACTGGAAATAAATCGAAATGCGTTAAATTTGGGTGACGAAATGAGACCTTGACATGTTTCGAATTGTTTCTCGCAGTGTGTACGCTGTTTAAAACACTGAAACTTAAAAGAATGAAATAACAATAATGACGATCGGATTAATTATTTTAGTATGACGTTTTTGTATTTTTTTCGACGCATAAAAAACTAATTTGATATAATTAACGAGTATTAGGATTAAGTATATCTGAGTTTTTTTATTTTAAAGAACTATTTTATCTAATGTTATCAGTTAATTATACATTTTTATTGGCAATATAAAATAATATCGAATTAAGATATCATTTGAACGAATATCCGACATGATATATTATTATACAGGGTGAGGGTGACCCAAGTTTCCGAAAAAGTTCTATATTAGGTTTTTGGTTTGCAATTTTTATTTTTTTTCTGAATATGAGAGCAACGGTAACGCACATTTAAAAAAAATAAACATACAGGGTGATTCAAACATATTTTCAGCGTAAAGTTAAATGGGTTTAAATATAGAATACTATATATTTTTTTAGTTCTATGAATCTCGCATTGCTTATATTCTTCAGACATTTTATAAAGATAGATACATTTTAAAGTAAAGGATTAGTAATAAACCTAATATTCATTGTTCAAAAGCCCACACACTGTAGTGGATAGGGATGACACTTTTGGAGTTGAAGAAACGCCTACTATCGAAAGAACAAAAGTCAAATTTTTTTCTTACATTTAACAAAAAAACAATGATTTGCCCTGTTGGTTTGTAAGTATCAAACAGATTGCAAATTTTGGCAGAATGAATTTTGAACAAGATACTATTATACAGTAGGTACTTTTCTCTTGCCAAAATTATTTAAAATTCTTATAAAAGAATAGAATTTTGAGAAGGCTTTAAATAAGCAGTAAATTTAGTTTAAAAACAAATATTTATTACAAAAACCACTTGGTATAGTATAAGATATGACATTATGGTATTTTTGGAACGGAAATTTAAAGGCAAACCCACTGAGCTAAAAAAATATAGTATTCCATTTAGAAATATAATTAAAAATATGTTTGAATCACCCTGTATACTGATAAAAATATTTTGAAAATGTGTTTTACCATTGTCACCATATTAGGTAAAAAAATAAACCCAAAAAACTAATAGAGGAAGGGTTCTTTGGAAGCCTGGGTCACCCTGTATAAATTAGATATTAATTTCTCCTTTTCACTAACTCCAACTTGCGCAAATTAAGTTAATGTTTGTTAACGTGCCATTAGCCTGCCATTAGCCACTATTAATGTTCTAGTCAAGTCTTCGTAGCAATGTCCCCAAACAGTAGCATTAAAGACATATCCATCACAATAATATATTGTTTTATTAAGAGTAAAGATGATACTTTTCGTGGCGAGGCTGTACGTTAGACAGACGAATAATATGGCAAATAATATGAAAAGATGTAGGTATGATGAAGGTACAGGCAAATAATATGAATAAATTTAAAATTTATACGTTGTAAGAAAGGTTGTATATAATTATAAATTGAGAAAATACACAAATAACCATGGTTAAACTTGTTGAGTTTGACAGTTTATGTCAATTTAATAATATATTTTAGTACTTTTGTCACACTTTTGTGCTTAGGCGTAAAAGTACTTTACTTTTATGCCTAGGCGTTCAAATGACTTTTTTATATTATCAATCACGTCGCAAAAGCAAAGATTTTTGTGACATTTAAAAAAATATTTTTTTTTGTGTATATATTTTTTAGTTTGGCGTTTCGAAAGAAAATCATTTTTTTAAAAACAACTGTTAATGGGATACATCATATAGATGTGCTCAAATTTACTTTACAAAATTTTAATATTATTTTATTATAATTAAAACTAATATTTAATAAAGTAAAATAGTTAAATTAAATTTTAGTTGTCATTAATTAACTATATCTTATCTTGAGGCTGATTAAAGTAAAAAAACAGAAGTGAGTGATAAGTTATTTTATGTTAAGCAAATAATTATAGGTAAATAAAACTCTAAAAGGCAATTTAAAAATAAATAGGTGTTTGATAACTTACTTTGTTTCTATGAATTAATTGGTGATTTCTTACATTGGTGATAATTACATACCTATCATCGGATATACAAACACCAGTATAATAATCATAGTTTCGTGCCTAAAAAACAGAACCCTTTATAAGTTCACTTTGGTTTTTGATAGTCCGTTTGTCTGTCAATATCGTGTGGATAGGTCTATAGGTCCTTGAAGGCTGTGAAAAAAACAAACTTCTAAGTTAACGTAAAAAAAGATACGGCATTTTATGTCGTAAAGAAACATATATTTCCACACTCTCAAGGAAATCAAAATTTCTAGGGTATTTTACGTTGGCCAAGCTAAAAATGAAATTTGGCAAGTACTGTAGTCAATATAGAATTACATTTGCGAATAAATCATAAAAAATATCTTAGTCTTTAAAGAGAACCCTTGGTGGACTTGCTCTTGTCTATTTTTTTCCTAACATTACTTCTCATCTCTTCCAAAAGGGAGTTTTTGTTTTTTTACCACTGGAATAAAATCTACAAAATACTTTTTAAGTTTAAACACTACTCCGGTTTATTTTATAGATTTAATAACTAATACTATCTATTACCTGCAATACAAATATTAAGTTTTTCAATAAAAAAGTTTAGCTGGTATAAGAGTAAAACACAAAACTACATTTTTTCTATATATTTCACAACATAAGACAAATTACCACAATATGCAATTGTTGTTTAACCAGTTGCCTATAATAACTCGACTTCAAATATTGCCTTAGTTCTACGCGCCAATCAATACAAAACGCGCACTAATTTTATTAGCACTAATAACTTGCTGAAACTGTAATATCGATAACTCGATAAAACTAAAAACTAAAATTGTTAAAGATACTTAAACTGTTCCTCGTATTTTATATTATTCTGCCATTTCAATATATTTATTATACGCCGCTAGAA